CCCCGGCGGCGTCGGCGGGCGGCGGGGAGCGGCGGCGGCGGCGGCCCGGCTCAGCCCCCCCCCCCCCGCGCTGCGCCAGCCCACCGCCGGCCCCCCCCCTCCGGCGGACTGCGGCGCGCGAGCGAAAACAACTAACTAAAAACAAATAACAAATAAAAATCAGCACATACATTATTTGTATATAAAAATTTTCTGGCGCCGCCTCCGCCGCAGCCGCGTGGGTGTTGCTGCTGATCACTTTCGTGGTGGTCGCTGTCGTTGGGGTCAGTCCCTCCGAAAATACCTTTTCCTTGAGATCTTGAAATCGATCCGGGAGTCTGGGTGCAGCGCTCGGCATGCTGCTTTCGTGGGGCCTCCGCATCGGCGGCCGCAGGTCCGACGCTAGCCGCGCGCAGCCCGCGCCAGGCCCACGGGCCCCCGCGGCGCCCCAGCGCGCCACCGGAGAGATGCGGGCAAGGCGGGGCGCAGAGTGCCCCCGTCTAAAATCGGGTCTTTCACCGCCCTTCGTAAGGCACCCTGTGGGAATGTAGCAACCTCGCAGCCCGCGCCGACGCGCCCGCGCCCCCGCGACCCAGGCCGACGGCGCCTGCCGTTGAAAAAGGCGCCCCCCCCCGGCCCGATCCAGGCGGCAAAGCGATGGCCCTGCGCGCGCGACCGGCGGAAAGGCGGACGAGAGCAGGAAAGCGAGAAAGACGGACAAGACAAACGAAGAAACAAAGGGGGCGAAGATTTCTGGGACAAGCAAGCAACACAAACCCAGCCGGAACTCCACAGCATGCCAATTCGCTCAGATTCAAAGCGCAGAGCATGCAACAATTTACACCACACCGAAGTACGTAACGATTCACGAACATACGAACATGTGGCACTCATTTACCATCCCTCGGCCGCATCCTTGCTAATTCTGCCGAAGGGAGGAGGGGCGTCACGTTTGCGGCGGGGCGCGCAGGGCAAAGCGACTCGCAGCAAGGCCAAGCGCAGCAACAGCACAAGCCGACCCCGGAGCAAATCCCGACACAACAGCACGGCGTAAAACGACCCACAGCACACAGCACGGCACGACGACCGTCACGCACGGCGCCAGGTTGACCTGGGGGGCAGGCGGCTGTTCCTTGTTTGGTCTGCTGGCCGTCGGGGCGCGCGCCGAGCCTCTTGCCGCTTTCCTCTGCCTCCTCTCGCTGCTGCTTCTGTGCAGGCGGGCGCTGGTGCTGCTGCGACTGCTGCTCGTCGTGCGGCGCCGCGCCATGGGCTGGCCGGGGCACTTTCCGGAACGCGCCTTGCGCCCACCTCCTGCCGAACCTCTCGGCCAGGAAAGCGCGTCGCCACTGGAAAGACGCCGCCCCGTCCACGAGCGCGCTTTGTTTAATGATCGCGGCGGCGGGGGCGCTAGCTGCCAGCCGCCGCGCGGTTCGTCGGCGCCCGCGCCGACGGGCCTGGCGGGCGAAGGCTGCCTGGCGCAGTGCCCCCTCGTTCTCGCCTGCCCCCTGTGGCCTTTCGCGGCGCCGCTGCGTCTGCCTTGCCTCCTCCTGCTGCTCCCCGGCCGCTTCTTTCTCGGCTTCCTCATCCTGTTCGTTGCCCAGCGCTGGCAGCACGCCGCGCGGCCGCTGCGTGGCGGTGCTGCTGCTTAGTTTTGCTGTAATTCGCGGTAGTGGTGGTGGTGGTGTTGCTGTTGCTGCACGCTGAAGAGAATCAAAGGAAAGCGGACAAGAAGCGAGCAAAGGAAGAACAAGCGGACAAGAAGCGAAGGGACGAGGAAAAAGTCAAGCGTCCACGAACCAGGCGCGAGAAAAAACAAGTCGGTGCGCCCATCCAGGGTGGAAGGTCGCCCTGGTGGTGTTGGCCGTGCTGCTGTTGGCCGCCGTCGTGGTGGAAGTGCGGTTGGCCGCCGTCACGGCGGTGGCTGTGCTACTGGTTTCGTAGCGGCCGCCTCGAGCGCCCGCGTCGCACAGGCATCCAGAGGCCCTCGGCCAGGCCTGTCGGCGGACCTGGGTCGGGCGGCGGCGTGGGGCTCGCAAGCGGATGCGCCGCAGCCCCGTCCCACCTCCCGCCACCAATCCCGGGCCGCGGAGAAGGACGAGGCAGAGGAGACAAGAGAGGAGCACAGGCACCTCCAACCCGTCCCAGCCACTTAAAATCGAGCGTTCTGCTACTCCCGAGCTCTCACCTGCCACCGTGCCGGGCTGCCCGACCGAAACCAGGTGCACTGCAAAGCGGCTCTGCCCGAGTTGCTACAGGGGCTGCGAAGGCCCGCTTCGCGCAGCGAATGCATGCCAAACGCGGCTACCGCATCTCATGCCGAATCATAGTCGTCGTCATGTGACCGCTGCCGCCTCCTCCTTCTCCTCCTCCTTCTCCTCTTCCTCCTTCTCCTCTTCCTCCTCCTCCTCCTCCTGCTCCTCCTCCTCCTCCTCCTCATGTTCTTTCTGTTCCTGCTCCTGCTCCTCCTCCTCCTTCTGCTCCTCCTGCTCCTCCTGCTCCTCGTGCTCCTCCTCCTCCTCCTCCTCCTCCTCCTCCTCCTCCTCCTCCTCCTCCTCACCGTCCTCCTCCTCATCCTCTTCTCCTTCCTCCTCGAGCCTAGCTGCACAAGCGAAAGTTTCCTCCCGTTCTTGTTGGCAGGGGCAGCAACGTTACAAACACACTGAACTGGGACACCGATTTGCGTCAGCAAACTGTCACAGGCACGACAAGTCAGACACACCAAACTAGGACACCGATTTGCGTCAATAAGCCGTCGCAGACACACTTACGTCAACAATATATTACCCATACACCAAACTTGGACACCGATTTGCGTGAGTAAGCCGTCACAAGCACGACAAGAAGAGTAACACACCAAACTGGGACACCGATTTGCGTCAGCAAACCGTCGCAAACACGACAATTCAGACACACCAAACTGGGATACAGATTTGCGTCAGTAAGCCGTCAGAGACACACCAAAGTCAATCAGCCATTACAGATACACCAAATGGGGACACCGATTTGCGTCAATCAGTTGTCACTGGCACGACAAGGCAAGCACACCAAACTGGGACACCGATCAGTAAACCGTGGCAGACACACTAACGTCAAGAAACCACTGCAAATGCACCAACCTGAGACAACGATTTGCGTCAAGAAGCCGTCACAAAAACGACACGACACGTCTGACACCTCGAACTGGAACACCGATTTGCGTCAATAAACCGTCACAAGCAAGACAAATCAAGCACAACAGGCTGGGGCACAAAAAAATTGCGCCAATAAACCATCATAAGCACGACTAATCAGACACGCCAAGAAAAGACACCGATGTGCGTCAACAAGCCGTCACACGCACAACACATCATACACGCCAAACTGGAACTCCGATTAGCGTGCGTAAACCGTCACAAGCAACACAAACAACACACAAACTAGGACAACTATGTGCATCAACAAACCGTCACAAATACTACAAAACCACCGATCTGGCGTGTGAGTTTAAGAAGTCTAAGCTGAAGCTCTGCTTCAGCATGAGCTTCAGCTCTGCTTGGGAGGGGGGGAGGAGGGGGGACGTAATGAACTGACGAATTCTGTGCTCGGCCCCCCCCCTGCCAGCCCCCAGGAGAGAGGGCGGGGGGGACAGGAGAGCCGAAAGGAGAGAGGGGGGGGGGAGAGGAGAGAGGGGGGGGAAAGGAGAGAGGGGGGGAAGGGGGGGACAGGAGAGAGGGAGGGGGGGGGGGACAGGAGAGAGGGGGGGTGTTGGAGGGGCGTTTTTACCAAACCAAACGGGTCTTCCCAAACCAAATTTTGGTTTGGGTGACCCAAGTCTTGGTTTGGGAAGACCCGGTTCGGTTTGGGAAGACCTGGTTGGCTTGGGAAGACCCGGTTGGTTTGGGAAGACCTGGGCCTCGTGGTTCGGGAAGACGCGGTTGGTTTGGGAAGACGCGGTCGGTTTGGGAAATTTTGGGAAGACCCGGTTGGTATGGGAAGACCTGGTTGGTTTGGGAAGACCCGGACGTTGTGATTTGGGAAGACCCGGTTGGTTTGGGAAGACCCGGCCGTTGTGGTTTGGGAAGACCAAACTGGTTTGGGAAGACCTGGCCGTTTGGTTTGGGAAGGCCCGTGATGGTTTGGGAAGACCCGTGGTGGTTTGGGAAAACCCGGCCTGCTCTCGTGGTTTGGGAAGACACCCGGTTGGTTATGGGAAGACCCAGAACTTCGGCTTGGGAAGACCCGGGCTTCGGTTTCGGAAGACCCGGTTGGTTTGGGAATACCCGGTTGGTTTGGGAAGACCTGGTGTTTGGGAAGACCCGGCCGTTGTGGTTTGGGAAGACCAGGGTGGCTTAGGAAAACCCGTTTGGTTTGGGAAGACCCGGTTGGTTTGGGAAGACCAGGCCGCTGTAGTTTGGGAAGGCCCGGGTGGTTTGGAAAGGCCCGTTTGGTTTGGGAAGACCCGGTTGGTTGTGGCAGACCCAGCCGCTGTGGTTTGGGAAGGCCCGGGTGGTTTGGAAGGGCCCGTTTGGTTTAGGAAGACCCGATTGGTTTGGGAAGACCCGGCGCCGTTGTGGTTTGGGAAGACCCGGGTGGTTTGGGAAGACCCGTTTGGTTTGGGATGACCCGGTTGGTTTGGTCTGCCGTGCTCCTGGCGGTCTGCTGTGCTCCCGCATGCTCTGCCGTGCTGCTGTGTGGTCTGCGGTGGTCCTCTGTGCTTTGCCGTGCTGCTTTGCGTTCTGCCCTGTTCCTTCGTGATCAGCCGTGTTCCTGCCTGCTCCGCCGTGCCCCTGCATCGTCAATCGTGCTTCTGCTTGGTCGGCCGCGAATCTGTCTGGTCTGCCGTGCCCCTGCGTGCTCAACCGTGCTCCTGCGTAATCTGCCACGTTCCGCGCGACCCGGCGAATGCACCGGCGGAGCAACGAAAAGGAAGCGAAGGCGAAACCGACATCGAGAATGCTGTCGTAAACGACAGCGGAACGAAACCGAAAGAGAGGCGAGAACGAACGAAAGCGAAACGAAGACTCCGAATTCCACAATACTCTCGCCCAGCATCGCGACCGAGGTACCAGTATGGAAGACAGTCTTATCGGGCCGCCCCCTATGCACCTGTGTCTACCGGCCTAGCCGCGTCAGGCACCAATGTTGGCTGGATCGATTTTGACATAATCCAGTCGCGGGCGGATGAATCCTAGACTGATGAGCCTATCCCTGATAGAATGGCTGCAAAGCCGGTTGGCGGCCGCGCGAGCGATGGCGGCGGCCCCGGGCAGGCCATGCACGGCGTCTACGACGCGACCGTCGACTACGAAGACAAGAATGATAATGGAGAAATTCAAGGGTACTATGTACATGTATCCCGGCATCAGCGAGTCACCAACCTCAGCACAACGTGGCAGTGGTTTAGTGTGGACGAGTACGACGACAAGTTCCAGCGTGACTCTGGAATGCCCAAATGCGATAGCGAGGTGGCAATAAAGGCGAAACGAAAACGATGACGAAGGCGAGAACGAGAGCGGAGACAAAGGCGAAAGGAAGGCGAGAACGCGGCCGGGAGCGAGAGCGGAAACAGCAGGAGGAAGAGGAGGACGACGTCGCTGGCGACGGGCGGGTCGGGTCGGGTCGGGCGGACCCTAACGGGCGGGTCGGGTCGGGCGGGCGGGACATTAAAGCGTGGTGCATAATCAAATTGACACGCGATTACCCTGACGGGCGGGTGGGGTCGCGTCGAGTTGTGCGGGAAGATCCCTGACAAGCGGGTCGGGTCGGGCGGGCAGACCCTACCGGGCGGGTCGGGTCGGGCGGGCGGGATATTAAACTGTGGTGCATGATCGAGTTCACACGCGAGAGCCCTAACGGGCGGGTCGTGTCGGGTCAGGCGGGAAGGCCCTATCGGGCGGTCGGGTCGGGTCGGGCGGGGGACCCTAACGGGCGGGTCGGGTCGGGTCGGGCGGGCGGACCTAAGGGCGGGTCGGGTCGGGCGGGACATTAAAAAGTGGTGTGGTGCATGATCGAATTGACGCGTGAGAACCCTAACGGGCGGGTTGGGTCGGGTCGGGTCGGGCGGGCAGACCCTACCGGGCGGGTCGGGTCGGGCGGGCGGGACATTAAACTGTGGTGCATGATCGAGTTCACACGCGAGAGCCCTAACGGGCGGGTCGTGTCGCCTCAGGCGGGAGGGCCCTATCGGGCGGGTCGGGTCGGGTCGGGCGGGCGGACCCTAACGGGCGGGTCGGGTCGGGCAAGTGGGACAATATCGAGTTGACACGCGAGAACTTTAACGAGCGGGTCGGGTCGGGTCGGACGGGCGGACCCTAACGGGCGGGTCGGGTCGGGTCGGGCGGGCGGACCCTAACAGGCGGGTCGGGTCGGGCGGGCGGGACATGAAAGTGTAGTGGATGATCGAGTTCACACGCGGGAGCTCCAACGGGCGGGTCGGGCCGGGTCCGGTCGGGCACACGGGCCTTAACGGGCGGGTCGGGTCGGGTCGGGTCGGGCGGGCTTTAACGGGCGGGTCGGGTCGGTCGGGCGGGACATGAAAATGTGGTGCACGATCGACTTCACGCGCGAGTGCCCTGACGGGCGGGTCGGGTCGGGCCGGGCGGGCGGACCCTAACAAGCGGGTCGGTTCGGGTCGGGCGGGCGGACCCTAGCGGGCGGGTCGGGTCGTGCGGGCGGGACATTACACTGCGGTGCATGATCGAGTTGGCACGCGAAAGCCCAAACGGCCGGGTGGGGTCGGGTCGGGCGGGGGGATCCCCAACGGGCGGGTCGGGTCGGGTCGGGCGGGCGGACCCTGAGGGGCGGGTCGGGTCGGGCGGGCGGGACATTAAAGTGCGGTGCGTGATTGAGGGCCCTAACGGGCGGGTCGTGTCGGGTGGTCGGGTCGGCGGGGGACATTAACTGTAGTGCATGATCGCGCGCGCGAGTGCCCTAACGGGCGGGTCGGGTCGGGCGGGCGGGACATTAAAGTGTGGTGCATGATCGAGTTGACACGCGAGTACCCTAAACGGGCGGGTCGTGTCGGGTCGGGCGGGCGGACCCTAACGGTCGGGTCGGGTCGGGCGGGCGGGACATTAAAGTGTGGTGCATGATCGAGTTCACGCGCGAACCCTAAAGGGCGGGTCGGGTCGGGTCGGGCGGGTCCTAGCGGGTCGGGTCGGGTCGGGATACGGGCGGAGCCCTCGGGCGGGTCGGGTCGGGTCGGGTCGGGCGGGTGTGGGTGCTGATGATCGAATTGGCGAAAGAACGGCGGGTCGGGCCGGGAAGACGGGCGGACCCTACGGGCGGTTCGGGTCGGGTCGGGCGGGCGGGCCCTACGGGCGGGTCGGGTTGGGCGGCGGGACATTACAGTGTGGTGCATGATCGAGTTACACGCGGGAACCCTAACGGACGGGGCGGGCGGGCGGGTCGGGTCGGGCGGGCGGGCCCTAACGGGCGGGTCGGGTCGGGCGGGTAAAACATTATCGTGTTGACACGCGAGAACCCTAACGGGCGGGTCGGGTCGGGTCGGGTCGGGCGGACCCTAACGGGCGGGTCGGGTCGGGTCGGGCGGGCGGACCCTGACGGGCGGGTCGGGCCGGGCGGGCGGGAAATTAAAGTGTGGTGCATGATCGAATTGGCCCGCGGGTCGGGTCGGGTCGGGTCGGGCGGGCTTCATCGGGCGGGCGGCCCTCGGGCGGGCGCGGGCGGGTCGGGTCGGGCGGGCGGGACATTAAAATGTGGTGCACGGTCGAGTTCACGCGCGAATGCCCTAACGGGCGGGTCGGGTCGGGTCGGGCGGACCCTAACGGGCGGGTCGGGTCGGGTCGGGCGGACCCTAACGGGCGCCGGTCGGGCGGGCGGGACATTAAAATGTGGTGCGCGGTCGTTCACGCGCGAATGCCCTAACGGGCGGGTCGGGTCGGGTCGGGCGGGGGGTCGGGTCGGGTCGGGCGGGCGGACCTAACGGGCGGGTCGGGTCGGGCGGGACATTAAAGTGTGGTGTGGTGCATGATCGAATTGACGCGCGAGAGCCCTAACGGGCGGGTTGGGTCGGGTCGGGTCGGGCGGGCGGACCCTAACGGGCGGGTCGGGTCGGGTCGGGCGGGACATTGAAGTGTGGTGCATGATCGAATTCACGCGCGAGTGCCCTTACGGGCAGGTCGGGTCGGGTCGGGCGGGCGGACCCGAACGGGCGGGTCGGGTCGGGCGGGCGGGACATTAACGTGTGGTAGATGATCGAGTTGACACGCGAATACCCTAACGGGCGGGTCGGGTCGGGTCGGGCGGACCCTAACGGGCGGGTCGGGTCGGGTCGGGCGGGCCCTAACGAGCGATCGGGTCGGGCAGGCAGGGTAGGCCTAAGGGGTAGACCCAGGGGTAGGCAGGCCTAGGGTAGGCCTCAGGGGAAGGCCTTGGGGTAGGCCTAGGGTAGGCCTAGGGGGTAGGCCTATGGGGGTAGGCCTAGGGGTAGGCCTAGGGTAGGGCTACCCTCCGGGCTCTATAAAGATTTGAAAACACCCTCAGTTGTAGAAGACCCAGAATGCTAGTTTGAGGAGAACTGTTTGGTTTGGGAAGACCCGGGGGCTGGTTTGGAAAACCCGGTTGGTTTGGGAAGACCCGGGGGTTGGTTTGGGAAGACCCAGGTGGTTTAGGAAGACCTGGCACGTTGGTTTGGGAAGACCCGGTTGGTTTGGAAAGACCCGGGGGACGTTGGTTTGGGAAGACCCGCGGTCTGATTCCGCAACATTTGGTTTGGGAAGACCCTTTTGGTTGGGGAAAACCCTAGTCCCCAGGGGGGGGGGGGGGACAGGAGAGAGAGGGGGGGGGGGGGGGGGAGGGGGGGAGGGGGAGACAGGGAGAGGCGGGGGGGGGGGGGGAGGAGGGGGGGGGGCGGGGGGAAGAGGGGGGGGGGACAGGAGAGAGGGGGGAGAGGGGGGGGATGGACAGGAGAGAGGGGGGGGGGGCAGGAGAGGGGGGGAAAGGAGAGGGGGGGGAGACAGGAGAGGGGGGGGGGGACAGGAGAGGAGGGGGTTTGGGGGGGCCTGGATCATCACCATCTCCATCGCCTTCACCATCGTCACATCACCATCATCATCATCATCATCATCATCATCATCATCATCATCATCATCATCATCATCATCATCATCATCATCATCATCATCACCCAACATCATCATCCATCATCATCATCTGGAGCGCCCCGGATCGGCGGCACTGGCCGGAGACCACTACAATCAGACACAACAAACTGGAACACCAATTTGCGTCAACAAGCCGTCACAAGCACGACAAATTATGCACACCAAACTGGGGCCCCGACTTGCGTGAGTAAGCCGTCGCAAACACACTAACGCCAATGAACCATCTCAAACACACTGAACTGGTACACCGATCTGCGCCAGCAAACCGTCTCAGGCCCCCCATCTTGGCGGCCAGCCCGGGGGGCGGGCCTCGGAGTTTCGGGTTCGAGGTTCGAGGTTTCGGGGCGTCGTCGCCCATTCTCGACGGTTTCCCAGCCTCGGGATACGCTCCAGCAGCTGCGCCTCCTCGCCGAGAGGGTTCCGGGGGTGCCCGCATCGTCCCGAACGGCAACTGGAGAGCCGAGTTATGACCAGAAAACCAACAGGCGTCCGAGATGGAGCGGGCTTTCTCAGAAGGCTCGGGAGTCCTCCGGGACTTCTGAGAAGTTTGTCATCTGGCCTTCTGAAAGAAAAAAAATTCTAAGCCTTCCCCGAGGACACAGACAACTTTTCAGAAATCCATGGGACCTCTGAGAAGCCCCGCCACCATTCTGAGAAAACCTCCTCCTTCTCACTTCCCCGCTTGCTCGCCGCCGACTATCAGCCCGCGCGAGAAATGTGAACAATGGCCGCGGATAAGCGAGGATGGGCCCACCGTCAACCGCTACAGTGCTGGGTTCGGCGCGTGCGAGAACGGCGAACTGTGGCAGGGCGCAGTGCACGGTAGAGAGATTGGAAGATTCTGAGGTTCAGTGCCCCCCTCAGCAAGGCCGTGGATGGCGACAGCAAAACCGAAAACCAACCGAACCGACAGCGAAACCGAAACCGACAGAAATCGACAGGTCGAAAGCATCCTAGAAGGGCGCAGCGACGCAACAACGACAATAACGGACTGGACCGAACTGGCCGAATGCAACCGACTGCGACGCAATCGAACGGATCGAACCGCCAACACCCGTGAGTGCCCCCCCCGCGGTCAGGAGCCGATGGTTGCCCCCATCGACCAACGAGCACCAGGGCGGCAGAGCACAGGGAGGGACGACCAAACATGCTTAAAACTTTGGGAATTGCGGACAAGCCCCCCAGCCCAAGGAACAACAGATGCGGACCAACAAACACGAATCAAAGATCCGCATCCGTCTGGGTGGACTCACGAAGCGCCTCCCTCCCGAGAGCTCGACGCAACGGTCGCGCGCTCGAGGCACACCCCGCTGGGGAAACTCGGAGCACCGGGTGACACCCAGAGGCTCCGCGGGCAGAGGCGCGCAAAGGGTCCACGGGCAGAGGCCGAGCGGCAGAGGCAGAGGCCGAACACCCTCGAGGCACGCGGCATGGAGCTGCGGCACGTCCTCCTCCTCCTCCTCCTGCTCCTGCTCCTCCTCCTCCTGCTCCTGCTCCTCCTCCTCCTGCTCCTGCTCCACCTCCTCCTGCTCGTCCATCCTCCTCCTCCTCCTCCTCCTCCTCCTCCTCCTCCTCCTCGTCCATCCTCCGCGTCCTACAGCTTTCTGTCCGAATGGGTTCCAGACGTCCTAAACAGGCGAGCGTTGAAAATTGGCGGCGGGGCCACGCGGCGCAACCTCTTCTTGGTGTGCTTTGCGGCCGCTTTTTCCAAAACAAGAGAACGACCCCGCCCTTTTGCGACACATGTTCTCAACTGCTGCTGCCTTAGATGACCTCCTCGTTTTCGGCACAAGAATCAGAATGCGTGTCTCAGCAAGGGCGAATTCCCAAAACGAAGCAATGATCATGATGCGTGTCTCAGCAAGGGCGAATTCGCCAAACGACGCAATGCACTCGCAACCCGTTAGTATCACAAACAGATTTGGGCAAACCCTTGGCCTGATGACAAGTGGCTTAGACAATTTTCTCTTCCAGCCCACTTCTTGCTCTCTGGGCGGTTGTTGTCACGGCTCCTTCGACCCCGGCGAAGGACTCAACCATCTGCAGTTGTGAGTAACGCAATTACGAATATCGTATTCGGTGGAGCTCCCTTTGGGGCCAAGAAACGTGTGAGGGATGTACCGAAAGCGAGCGGTGAACGCATGCGAACGCAGCCACTGGGGTCTTCAGTGGAATTCCCTATGGGGCCACGAAACGTATGAGGAGTATGCTGGGATGGGTGGGGCGGACGCATGCGACCACCGCCACTGGGGTCTTCGGTGGCGCTCCCCTTGGCGCCACGAAACGTACATATGAGGTGTGTGCCGAAATGGGTGCGGCGGGCGCCTGCAAACGCAGCCGCTGGGGCCTTCGGTGGTGCTCCCTATGGGGCCACGAAGCGTGTGAGAGGTGAGCCGAACATAAAATGGCGGACGCGTGCGATCGCAGCTGGGGCCACGAAACGTATGAGGGGTGCCGGAATGGGCGCGGCGGGCGCATGCTAACGCAGCCACTGGGGCCTTCGGTGGCCTCCCTATGGGGCCATGAAGCGTGTGAGGGGTGTGCCGAAGTGGTTGCGGCGGGCGCATGCGAACGCAGCCACTGGGGCCTTCGGTGGAGCTCCCTATGGCCCTATGAGGCCACGAAACGTGTGAAGGGTGTGCCGAAATGGGTGCGGCTAGCGCATGCGAACGCAGCCACTGGAGCCTTCGGTCGCGCTCTCTTTGGCAACACGAAACGTATGAGGGGTGTGTCGAAATGGGTGCGGCGGGCGCATGCGAACGCAGCAACTGGGGCCTTCGGTGGAGCTCCCTATGGGGCACGAAGCGTGTGAAGGGTGTGCCGACATGGTTGACTCGTGCGGAGGGCAGAGGCAAGGATGGAAGGAGGGAGGAGTGGGACGAGGAGGAGGCGGGACGCAGGGCGCTGTCTCTTCAAAACGAAGACCCAACACCACAAGATGGTTGGGAAAAGGACGACGTACACGCGGGGGAAACATCGGGATCGTCAGTCGGCACCCCGCGAGCACTCATACGGCAATTTCGTGTCGTGTCGACCCCAAGGTTGTTTCCTGACACCGCGAAGATCGTTCAACCTTGAAAGGTCGGCCCATTCCGGAATGTCAGATCGTTCAGGGCCGATTTCTAGGCCACGGGCGGCATTCAACCTTGAATACCAGCGCTGGGATCGCCGCCGGTGGACACGACGCGAACCTACCGTGTCAGTCTCGAGAAGAATGGATGGGGGTGGGGGGGATCATACTGGTCCGCTGCGCGCTGGCACACTACCCTAAATCCGTCCATGGGAACACTCCATGCACCATGCGGGCCACACGCCGCCACTTTGTACTGGTTTTGGCGAGGATGGTGGGAGTGCCGACATACTGCCCGATGTGCGGTGACACGTACACTGGCGCACTCCGTGCGCGTCGCGCGCCTTGCGCGGCTGGAGCTTCTGGTACACTCGGCGCATATAGGTCACGTGGCGCATCTGGCAAACCAAGCGCGCTTGGGCCCATGGTGCGCGTAGCGCACGTGGCATCTGCATTGGTTCCGACTGGCTGTCCATCTGATGATTACCTGTGCCTGTGCTGAGCCCAGGTGCTCTTTATGCATATTTTTAGACGGCGGGCCTATACCCATGCTGAGTCCCGGTTGCTCCTCATACGTGTGGTGCGAGGGCGGGTAGGAGTGAGCAACGCAGTTTGTGGCGTTCACGTTGGGAACTCAACTCATCCCCCTGCCCCCCTCTTCCCCTGGCTCCCTCCCTCCCTCCCTCCCCTCCTCCCCCTCTCCCCCCTCTCCTCCCCCTCTCCTCCCCCTCCCTTCCACCCCTCCCTATTACCCTTCACAATTACACAATAAGAATGCTACTCTCCTCTCTCCCCAAATGACGTCCGGAAGATGTCTGGCCCCCCTCCGCGTATACACACAAGATTCCTGGGAGTTGAGTTTCCGCTTTTTTTGCAGAAATGTTGATCCGCTGAAGCGCTGGCCTCATTTTCGGGCTTCCGCTCGTTCCGACTCGTGCTCTCGCTGCAGCGCTGGCCTCATTTCCGCGCTTCCGCTGGTTCCGAATCGTGTTCCCGCTGCAGCGCTGGGCTCATTTCCGCGCTTCCGCTCGTTCCAAATCGTGCTCCCGCTTCAGCGCTGGCGTCATTGTTTCCAGTGCCATGCCACGGCATCATGGTTTTCGGTCCTTCCAAATAGGCCCCCAAATCTAGAAAATGCCGCCCCCCCCCCCAGAAGAACCGTCTGAAGTGATTACACTCTCGGTGTCGATTCGTTGATTTGTTTGGGGCCGCAGCCTCCCCTCACTTTGGGGCGTCGCCACGTCATGCTATATCATACTACGCGTTGATCTTCAACGCCATGCTATGACACATGTAATGCTATGCCATGGTGCGACATCCGACTGTGCGAATAGAGAGGAGATACACGCCATGGTAAGGGATGGCAGGGAGGGGTAGGAGGTCAGATATGACGCGAGCGCACTCAGCGTGCCTTCCACCCCTCCCTTTCATCCCCCCTTCCAACGCCTTCCTCACCCTCCTTCCCCCCTTCTCTCCCCCCTCCCGCCCCGCATCCAGAGGCTCCCAGAGATACTTTAAATTAACCCTTGTGCACCCCATGTTTAGCTAGATGCTTCTCTTCCCCTCTTCTCCCGACAACTGGCCCAAACACAATTTCTGGATGTGCTTGTGAGGATACGCGAACGGCAAGCACTTGAACGCATCCGGAACTAAGGAGGCCCAAGCAGCAAAACGCAAACGAGCTATACGCAAGATCTGCAGCTGCTAGGGTGGACTGTACCCCCCGAGTCCCGAGCATGGCAAAACAGACGCATCGCGAAACTGCAAATTGGCCGCACGACTGCACAGAGCACCTCCACCGAGAAAGCCCAGAGCAACGGTATCCTCTCACATCTGGCTATGCCGTGTAAATGGAACTGGCAATGGATGGCTTCGATCCGAACCTCTAACGTATCGCCCCGACCGTCAAAGCGAGAGAGAGAGAGGAATTAAGCGGCGGGAAAGCACGAGTCCAGCCCGAGAAGGAAAGAGAAACTGTTACGCCGCAGCGCGGCAAAGGCAATCCGCACGCGCGCTCAGGCAGTCTGGGCAACGGAAAACGCGAATCTGGAAAGATAAACATGACAGGCGGCCTGTACCCCCATGCGGCGACAGCCAACAGAAAACGGCGATCATCCGCACTGTTGGTCCGAAGAGCCACCTCCGCTAACACCACTGGGATCACCCAGCACTCCCACCACCGACTCTTCTGATCCACCCAGACCACTTCACGCTCCCAGATCTCCTGAGTCTCACAGCTTCCCCACCTTGATGCCTTGATGACCTCCTCCTTCAACTCTCCCCGTTTGGACTACCCTCTCGGCTCCCCCAGCCAATCCTCCTGCACGCACGACTCCGAAGCATGCTGCCTGCAGGGGGAGAAGCTCCTTACGGTGGTCCAGCAAGATGTTCTCCGGCTTCAGGTCACGGTGCACAACATTGAAGGAGTGCACCCGGTCCACGCCCGCCAAGATCTGGTGCAGGAAGCTGCACGCCTCGGCCCGCAGGCCGTTGGCTTCCCCAATTTTCGGGCTGGGGGATCTCGCAACCAGGAGGAGGGGGAGGGGGGGGAGAGGGGGAGGGGGAGGAGGAGGGGGAGAGGGGAGGAGGAGGAGGAGGAGGAGGAGGAGGAGGCGGAGGAGGAGGAGGAGGAGGAGGAGGAGGGAGGAGGAGGAGGAGGAGGAGGGGGAGGAGGAGGGGAGGAGGAGGAGGAGGAGGAGGAGGAGGAGGAGGAGGAGGGGGAGGAGGAGGAGGAGGGGGGAGGGGGAGGAGGAGGAGGAGGGGGAGGAGGAGGAGGAGGAGGAGGAGGAGGGAGGAGGAGGAGGAGGAGGAGGAGGAGGAGGAGGAGGAGGAGGAGGAGGAGGAGGAGTTGCGGGAGGCGGGGGGGAGAAGGACGACGACGCGACGACGACGTCGACGACGACGACGACGACGACGTCGACGGCGACGACGACGACGACGACGACGGCGGCGACGACGACGACGACGACGACGACGACGAATGACCAACTTCGCTTTGTAATTGCGGCGTGAAAACGAAACTCGGGCAAGTTGAAACGGGTCACCCTTCCGTCTGAAGTCCGCCGACCCCTTGTGGGTTTCTAGGCGTGTGAGATTCCCCCCCCCATAATTCCCCCCCGTGGACCCCAAACTGCGAGTTTACCCCCCCCCCCCCTCGGGCCCAGGACGACCCCCAGTCCACAGGGGAACGGAGGGCCTCACAACGGGCCAAGAGGGCCCCAAGGGGCCCCCAAAACGGTCCAACAGGGCCCCGAGTCGCCGAAAGATCGGGCCAAGACGCCCAATATGGCATCCAGACGGCCCAAAATGCCGCAAGACGCTCCCAGAGGCCTCCAAGAGGCCCCCCAAGAAACAAACAACTTCCCATTCCCTTGGGCAAACTTCTTATTTTAGCCGCTCGCGTCTTGGGTTTTCACAACGACCACGATGGCCCAAGAGGCCTCCAAGATCGCCCCAAAACGGCCCCAAAACGACCCAAGAAATCCCCAAAACGGCCCTAAGAGGGGGCCCGCAAGGGGAACCCGAGCGGACATTTCGACCCTTCGGCCCCAACTCGCCCCCAGGGAACTCCGACAGGGCTCAACAAAAAAAACTCACGAGGCCTCCATGAGGCCTCCAAAAGTCCAAAAACTGCCTCCAGGCCGCCCCCGAGAGGCCTCCCACGACACCCATGAACCATCGGATTGGCCTTAGCCCCACAACCCAGGCACGGCGGCAGGATGCCTCCAGGCCCCCCCCTGAAAAAAAACCGACGGAACCCCATCAACCATCCCACTGGCCTCAGACCCGTAAGCCAAGCACGGTGGCGGGATGTACCGAAGGCCATTCGATGATCATGTGTCCACGCCGAACACAGCTATCCCAGTGCCGTTATACCCACAAGCTAGGCACGGTGGCGGGTTGGACCGAAGGCAATTCGATAGTCATGAGTCCACGGCGAACATTGCGAATGTCAGCCGCGGCGAAATTCAACGATCTCAAAGAATTCCCGCCTGGACTCTGACACTGCCCCCCACCCCGTCCCCCGAGAGCGCTCCGAGGACCCCCCGCGAAACATCCCCGCGATTCTGACGCACGACCAGGCCGGGATGGACCGAAAACAGCAAAACACTTCACGGCCAGGTTGCCCGCACAAGATCTCCAGATCCAGGGTGCGCACATGCGTTCGGGGGGTGCCGACATAGCCCCCAACGACCCCCGGAGGCCCCATTAAGGGCCCCAAGCCTGGACCCTCACTCTTCGTCCCCCTCTTGTCTTCTTCATCCTCCTCCACCTCATCCCCTGCCTCCGTCTGCCCCTCCTACCCTTCATCCTCCTCCTCCTCCTCCTCCTCCTCCTTCCGCGCTTCCTTCCTTTCAGCTCCCTCCTCTTCATCAACTTCGCCGCCCCTCTCGCTCTCCCTTTCTGGCCCTACTTCGACGAAACGCAGAATGGGCGCTCGAATGCGCATCATTTGCACGTCTTGCACTTCAGGGTGCCCTTCTTTTCGTCGCGCGCGACATTGTGAGGCCTCACGGAGAACGCCGACTTGGGTAGTTTTCTCTTGCACGTGCCGCTGCACTGATACGCCTGCCAGCTGCGCGCCGTGAAACCAAAGTCCTTGCAATCTGCGCACACTGCTTCCACCCCCTCGTCAGGTGTTCCGTCTCCTCCGCGCCACTGTTGTGCCCCTGCCGCGAGAAGTCCTTCTCGAATCAACCCCTCACTCTGATCCGCATCCGCAGGGGCTGCGGGAATTATCAAGATTCGTGCCTTTCGAACACGAACCCCAAACCACGATTAGTCCAAAAGATCCTTCTCATGAAACCACATACCGCCGCAGTGAAGGCGTCCACCACAGCCGGCGATAAACGCTATACAAGAACAGAGAGTCGGCGGATGTGGCGTAAGCCTGGAGAACCCACGTCCGGAGGTGGCGTGCTGAACGGCAGCGTTTTCCGGCGAACACATTAATGCAACGTATCCTATGTATCCGATGACTGCATCATGGCTACATATTGTAATGTGTTGCATTGTAGGATGGACAATCTATGATTTGGGCCCCGTGGCCCTCCCAGGGGCCCAAGAGGGCTTCAAAATAGCTCGCGGTGGGCTCTAGACGGCCCACGACGGCCCCGAGACGGCCCAAGATGGCCCCAAGAGGACCCAAAAAGTGCCCAAGACGGCCCAAAAGGGCCCCCAAAGGAGCCCCAATAAGCGCCTCCGCAAGCCCAAATCATTGATGTTCCGGAAAGATTTTGACAGATTTTCGCGTTCTCGGTTTTTTCGACTCGAAGGACACCAAGAAAACCCCCAGGCGGCCGCGAGAAGCCCCCAGTACGGCCTCCGCAGGGGCCAAACGGCGCAACAGCGCCCAATACGGCTCAAGACGCCCCAAGAAGGCCAAAGAGACCCCAAAGAAGTCCCCAAGAGACTCCCAATAACCCTCAAAACGACTTGACTATACGTACTCCGGACGTGCACCCCGCGAAGCGAGAGGAATCGTTTTAGCTTCCTCTCTGCAGAGATGACGCCCTCGCGATCCATCCATGAATATGCAAGCACGCACGCGGTGTTCTGCGTTCGTGTCCAGAACTGCTACCCATCATCGAATTCGGAGATCTCTTCAAGTCGAGGGCTTGGCGGAGCACATTTCCCAGGAACCATGGCGGTGGACTCTGAAATAACATCAAAAATCTGTCGCTCGGCTCGACACATCAATAGAGGCCTCCTAGATGGGATCGGACTAGATGGGGTCGAAGGATCGCGCCGCATCGCCGATGCTTAAAGTCAGTCTACACATCGAGCCGCATCGCCGATGCATTGGCGATGCGGCGCGATCCTCTGAACCCATCTGCTCGGACCCCATCTAAGAGGCCTAGACTCATCAAAGGATGCGAAGGATTATCGCCAGCGCGGTGGACAAGACGGGGCACCTCGGCCTCGCTAGCCCGCGAGTGCTGCACTATGTAGTCGAAGAGCTCGCCGCCTGGCGCGTACTCCATGATCAAGTAGAGCTGCCCAGGCGTCTCGATTATCTCATACAACTGGATGATGTGCCGGCAACACCTGACGAGACAGAATTCGGGTTCAACCTTCCTGGTCATCACTCGGGTGGAATGCGATCTCGCGCTTAGGAAGACCACACTAAAACTCGGTGGACCCTTAGATTTATCTTTCGCGCCGGCATGCGGTCGGGCCCAATGACACCGTGGGTAAAGCTCCCCGTGGAGCCACGAAACGTATGATGGAGTCTCGAATTGAGGGCGCGTGCGCCATGCGGCCGGGCCCACTGAGACAGTCCAAGGGGCTCCCTATGGGGCCACGAAGCGCGCGACGGGTGTGCAGAATTGGTGGCGGTGCTGGCGTGCGGTCGGCGAGTTTTCACCTGAATCTGGGTAGGGCGTCGCTGGGCCTCCCAGCGGCCCCCCAACGTGACAACGACAGTTTCGCAGTTCATAGCCTCCGAACCTGGCTAGGGCGTCACTGCACTGGGCCTCCCAGCAGTTCTCGAGACTGGCGGCACGTTCGCAGTTCGCAGCGAATAGCGAACCCTTTCCGAACCCAAAGCGGTCATTCTTTCAGCGTCTTGACTGTATTGCATCGGTGCTCATACGCCGAAGTCAAAGCGCATCCAAACCAACAAGGTTCATGAGCTCGATCTGCTAATGCGCCCGCTCCTACAGCAAACGAGGACAAGCAACTCCCATACATGCGCCAATCTCTGTGACCAAAATTTAGGGCTCCCTCTCGCAGGCGAAGTGCACACCGATAGGAATTGCACGCGCTGCAGAAAAACAAGGGTCGAGGAAAAACCATGAGTGCCTCCACGACGCTGCCATCATGGGCGAAGCTGGATAGTGCTTCGCGAAATCCCACCAGCCCTCTGGGCGTCGGTGGTTTAGAGCGTTTCCTCTTCCACCCCTCCTTCTTCCCCTTCGGGGAGGGGTTTACCCCTCCCCCTACCCCCTCCCCACTGACCTGGACAGGGGGTTCCGCGGCGCGTTGGAGCGCCCAAGATGGCCCAAGACGGCTCCAAGAGGGCCTCAGGGAGCCCAAGATACCCTCCAAGATGGCTCAAGATAGCGCAAGATGCCTCAAGATGGTCCCCATGATGTTCCAAGACGTTCCAAGAACTCTCCAAGACGGTTCCAAGTGCCCACAAGAGCATCATTAGGATGCGTCCAAGAGGCCAAAATGCTTCAAAACCCTAGGGAAAATCAATGTTTTTGGTGTTCTCACTTTTTCGCTTGCGATGCACATCCGAGGCGTCAAGATGGCTCCTAGATGGCTCAAGATAGCTCCAAGAAGGGCCCAAGAACGCCCCATGACGGCGCCAAGAGCGCCGAAGAGCGCTCCAAGAGCGGTCCCAGAGCGGTACAGGAGACGATTTTTGGAGTTCCTGGGGGGGAGCTCTAATTAAGGAACCCTACTTCCTTGGCCGATGTCCTCCAAAATCCGCAGGATGGCCTCAAGATGGCCCCAAGAGGCCCCCAGGAGGCCCCCAAGAGACCCCCAAGAGGCCGCAAGAGACCCCCCAGAGGCACCCAAGAAGCGCCCAGGAGGCCCCAAGAAGCGCCCAGGAGGCACCCAAAGGCCCCAAGATGGCCCGAAGAGGCCCCAAGAGGCCCCCAGGAGGCCCCAAAGAGGATCCCGAACGGCCCACAGAGGCCCCCCCGAGGCACCCAAGACGCCGAAAAGCCCCTCAGGACGACCCTCTACTCGCCTGGGCGTCGTTTCTGGACGGGCTGGTGGGGATACGCGAAGCGTCTAGAATGTTTCTAGCTCAGCAGTAGCTCAGGAAAGAATTCATCATCGGGGTGCCTGATCAGCTTCAGTATGTGAAGCTCTCGGGCGACGCGCTCGACGTCTGCGATCTCCACTATTCGCTCCTTGACGGCATGCGAAACAAAAACAACACAGTCCATCCAGCAAACAACCGCGCCCTCCCCACACCAAAAGATGACAGCACGCTCTTTGCATACATAATGTTTGGGCGCTGACATGAAAACAAAACGAAGGATAGACGGCTGATGGTGGAATCGAATGATCGTGGGATGCATCCACGGTTGTCCCGGGACATGGGACATAGTAAGAAAACATCTCCCGCCAACGCCCCGGCGATGCCCATCCCTTGCCAGTGCTTATCGCATAATCCTTATTTTCCTTTGCGCATGTGCGTCTGGTCGTGCGAAGCATCTCGTGGCCGCATCCGGACGACACGAAAGGAGCAGGGAGATCTTTCAAAAAATGCTCATGAAAGCTGGAGGCAAGGGCCTTCCTCCTCTACCACCTGCCACCTCACAATCTGCACTATCACCATTCCCAGCCTCCTCCCTCTCTTCATCCAACTACTCGTACTCCTTCCGCCCCATATAGTCGTCGCAGTCGTAAGCGCGCTGGCAATCCTATCATGTCCTCTGTCGCGCTTCTACTCCATGGACTCTCGAAACACTCTTCAGACCGGTTACGTACGACCCTCTGGAAAACATCACGTAATTACCTAACAGCTTTTGCTGATAGGTTTCTAGTGGTCTCAAAAGAGAACATCTTGACGCTCCAGGGGGGTCTGGGCGGGACCCGGACAGGGATCTGGCAGGATCTGGCAGCCCCAGGAATCCTTAGGAATCTTTAGGAATTCTTAAGAATCCATTCCCAGAACACCATTCCCAGGCCACATTTGGAATGCCCGGATCCGACTGTAAGCCACTTCGTGTTCTTCGTGTTCCCAGAACACCATTCGCAGGCCACATTTTGAATGCCCGGAGCCAACTGTAGGCCACTTCGTGTTCTTCGTGTTCCCAGAACACCATTCCCAGGCCACATTTTGAATGCCCGGAGCCAACTGTAGGCCACTTCGTGTTCTTCGTGCTCCCAAAACACTACTCCCAGGCCGCATTTCGAATGCCCGGAGCCAACTGTAGGCCACTTCGTGTTCCTCGTGCTCCCAGAACACAATTCCCAAGCCACATTGTGAATACCCCGAGCCAACTGTAGGCCACTCCGTGTTCTTCGTGTTCCCAGAACACCATTCCCAAGCCACATTTTGAATGCCCGGGGCCAACTGTAGGCCACTTCGTCACTTCGTGTTCCCAGAAAACCATTCCCAGGCTTCATCTGAATGCCCGGAACCAACGGTAAGCCACTTCGTGTTCTTCGTGTGCCCGGAACACCATTCCTGAGGCAGGCTGAGGCTGAGGCAGGCTGAGACTGAGGCTGAGGCAGGCTGAGGCTGAGGCTGAGGCTGAGGCTGAGGCTGATGCTGAGGCAGAGGCTGAGAAGCTGACGCTGAGATTGAGGCAGGCTGAGGCTGAGGCTGAGGCCGAGGCAGGCTGAGGCTGAGGCTGAGGCAAGCCGAAGCAGGCTGAGGCTGAGGCTGAAGCTGAGGCAGGCTGAGGCTGAGGCTGTGGCTGAGGCTGAGGCAAGCTGCGGCCGAGGCAGGCTGAGGCTGAGGCTGAGGCAGGCTGAGGCTGAGGCAGACTGAGGCTGAGGCTGAGGCAGGCTGAGGCTGAGGCTGAGGCTGAGGCAGGCTGAAGCTGAGGCCGAGGCAAGAGGCAGGCTGAGGCTGAGGCTGAGGCTGAGGCTGAGGCTGATGCAGGCTGAGGCTGAGAGGCTGGCTGAGGCTGAGGCAGGCTGAGGCTGAGGCTGAGGCCGAGGCAGGCTCAGGAGGCTGAGGCAGGCTGAGGCTGAGGCAGGCTGAGACTGAGGCTGAGGCAGGCTGAGGCTGAGGCTGATGCTGAGAGGCTGACGCTGAGGCTGAGGCAGGCTGAGGCTGAGGCTGAAGCCGAGGCAGGCTGAGGCTGAGGCTGAGGCAAGCCGAGGCAGGCTGAGGAGGCCGAGGCTGAGGAGGCTGAGGCTGAGGAGGCTGAGGCAGGCTGAGGCTGAGGCTGAGGCAGGCTGAAGCAAGCTGCGGCTGAGGCTGATGCAGGCTGAGGCTGAGAAGGCTGAGGCTGAGGCTGAGGCAGGCTGAGGCTGAGGCAGGCTGAGGCTGAGGCTGAGGCTGATGCAGGCTGAGGCTGAGGCTGAGGCTGAGGCTGAGGCTGAGGCTGAGGCTGCAGGCTGAGGCTGCAGGCTGAGGCTGAGGCAGGCTGAGGCTGAGGCTGAGGCTGAGGCTGAGGCTGAGGCTGAGAGGGCAGCCGAGGCTGAGGCTGAGGCCTGAGGCTGAGGCTGAGGCTGAGGCCGAGGCTGAGCCAGGCTGAGGCTGAGGCTGAGGCTGAGGCTGAGGCTGATGCTGAGGCAGGCTGAGGCTGAGACAGGCTGAGACACGCTGAGGCTGAGGCTGAGGCAGGCTGAGGCTGAGGCAGGCTGAGGCTGAGGCCAAGGCCGGCGAATCCTTCGGAATCCTTAGGAATCCCTAGGAATCAGGATTCCTAAGGATTCCTATGGATTCCTAAGGATGCCTAAGGATGCCTTAGGAATCCCTAGGAATCCTTAGGATTCCATTGGATCCCAAGGCCGTTGCCACAGCGACTGCCATTACGAATGCGACTGCGACTGCGAAAACAGCAGAATTCTACAAGTGGATTCTCACCTGAATCTTAAGGGGAATGCTTCCAGATATGCGTATACACATCGCTGTTAGGTTGCTTTGCCGGGATACTTTTTTATGACAACAAGTGCCATATTACTAGAGCAACAGAAAACAGCATTTACATCCGCCGGCCCCCTTGTGGGGCCACCAGGCTGTAGGCCCGTGATTCGCAGTTTCCTGTACCAGTCGTAGGTTGTAATTTCCAGTGTTACAGTTCTGCTTCTTGCTGGTTACTGTAACTACTTGACTTATTGCTGGTTACTGTAACTAGTTGATTGACCGCGCGAGGGGGGGGGAGGCCCAAAGTGGCTTTTTAGCGTCCCCTGGGCGCGTTGTCTGAATTGCTGGGGGGGCTCGAAATCGAGCCCCCCTCACGCAGATCCGCGGGGTCAGGGTCCAAAAACACAGGGGATTTGCCACATTTCTGAAATTCGGTGCCACCCCTCACGCAGATCCGCGGGGTCAGGGTCCAAAAACACAGGGGATTTGCCACATTTCTGAAATTCGGTGCCACCCCTCACGCAGATCCGCGGGGTCAGGGTCCAAAAACACAGGGGAGTTGCCACATTTCTGAAATTCGGTGCCACCCCTCACGCAGATCCGCGGGGTCAGGGTCCAAAAACACAGGGATTTGCCACATTTCTGAAATTCGGTGCCACCCCTCACGCAGATCCGCGGGGTCAGGGTCCAAAAACACAGGGGATTTGCCACATTTCTGAAATTCGGTGCCACCCCTCACGCAGATCCGCGGGGTCAGGGTCCAAAAACACAGGGGATTTGCCACATTTCTGAAATTCGGTGCCACCCCTCACGCAGATCCGCGGGGTCAGGGTCCAAAAACACAGGGGATTTGCCACATTTCTGAAATTCGGTGCCACCCCTCACGCAGATCCGCGGGGTCAGGGTCCAAAAACACACGGGATTTGCCACATTTCTGAAATTCGGTGCCACCCCTCACGCAGATCCGCGGGGTCAGGGTCCAAAAACACAGGGGATTTGCCACATTTCTGAAATTCGGTGCCACCCTTCACGCACATCCATCGCAAGGCGTGGCAACCCAAACTGCGAGAACTCCCTCGGCCCTTTAATCGCAAGGTGTGGTAACCAAGCCCGTAAACCATACACGTCTTACCAATCGCCAGGTGTGGTAACCCCTCTTGTGATCAGTTGGTTTTGCTGATTGCGAATCGGTTTCGCATGAAGTTTCGATACTGCTTCACGACAGCGCGAAGGCCTCATGACTTAGCTCTTCCATGGCCCATTCTTCGAGAGAGGGGGCCGGCGGCAGGGGGCGAAGCCCTTACGGATAAACAATCGGAGCTCTGCGCTAATTTCTTGGATCCGCGCTGGGCCCCCTCAGGGGCGGCGCCAAAGGCACCGCCGGGCGGGCCCAACGCAGATCGGAGAAATCCGCGCAAAGATCGGAACACTTATGTTTATCAGCCCGCTTTCGCAGCTGGACCAGACGATTCGTTTTATTGGACTGCGAGTGCGTCGTTTGGCACGAGCTGAGAGCGCGAGGTGGCTTCCCCGCATCCGATGCTGAGATGACTCACGCGCAAGCAAGCAAGCATCATCCCGCTCTCGCAGCGGGGCCAGGCGAGTCGTGTACATTACAGCGAATGTGTCGATCTGGCACGAACTGAAAGCGTGAGATGGCCTCGCCACCCCCCAACATCGAACTGTGGCCACGCCGCTCCTGCCCTGGATCAACAGCGACCCAATGAATTCTACGGGCCACTGCACCGTTCTCAAAAATATATGATACAGAAACCTAGAGGTGGAAATAATGTTCTGGCCACCTGGGCTTCCTCTCGTGCATCGTGCGCAGTAGCGACCCTAGATTTCAGAGCACCAGCCGGTCTGGAGAAATTTCGGCGCTCGGGTCTGGCTGGTTTTGAAAATCAGAGCCTGTCGAAAAAATGTGCGGAGAAGCCGAGGATACGCTGTGGCAGTCTTTGCCCGAAGCTCCTGCCTGGCCAGGGGCAACAGGGGCTTTGCCGCTTAGCTCGGCGCGAGGGACTATGGACCTAGAGCAGACGCTGCTACAAGATTTGCAGAGAGCCCCGGCAGCCGAGAGGCCAACCCAAAATGACTGGAACCTGGCTCTCTCGCGCCAGGGGCCCCCATACTGGCATGGGCCGACTGCAGTTTGCCGGGCCGGGGCAAGATTCAGGAGCCGTGGAACTGAGAGGCCTGCCATGCGCGAGAGGAGCGGGGATTCTCGAGCACCGCTGGGATCTTCATCTGGAAGCAAAACTGCGAGATACTGGCACTAAAATGCATTGGCGCGTTACCTACGAGGACTTCAAGGGAGCCTTCGGGGCGCCCGGGAGGCCCGTCGCGCGGTCTCGACCACGGAGCTGCGGCGGCCCCGCCCCTGCGCCTCGGCGAGCCTGCGCCGCGGCAGCCCGACCAAGACGGCGCTGGTGAGCCCTCCTCGGATCCACCCTCCGATGAGCCTCTGGTCGGCCCTGCGCGTGCTGTCGCGCACCTCGCCATGGCACATGTCACACTCGAAGGCGGGGGTGCACTTCGGACCCGTCCGCCACCGCGGCCGCGCCCGGCGCCCTGTCCCGCGGAAGAGCGCGAGGGCGACTTGCCCCCGCGGAGCCCAAGAGAGGGGCCGCCTCTGTCCGGCTCTGGCACTACTTCGCTTGCTCCAGCGCGTCTTTGGAAAGGCGGGTCAAGATCTGGGCGGGCCTCCCGCCTGCTCTCGCGCCGGCGCAGCGACTTCGCGTTCGCCCAGCGGCCTCGCCGCTGCGCGCCTTGGAGATCTCGCATCTCTTTGGCGATGTCGTGGGACGCGCCGCCGCGCCTGCGCCGGCGCAGGCGATCGTTGCCGATCGCGTCCAGGTTGAGCGCCTGCACGGCGAGCGCGGAGTGCCAGCTCCCCGTGCTCGAACGAGCGCAGCCGGTCGATCGAATCTCTGTGGCCACCGTACTCGTCGTTGTTCATGACCAGCGATTCGACGAACAGGCCAGCCTTCGACGGCTGGGCCCCATCGGCCGGGCGGAGCACCGCCGGCTCCTCCAGCTTCGTCGACGCGGCGCCCACTGGCCGAATGCGCGGAGCTCGCGTCGACTCCGCGCGCGCCGCCATCCGCTGGGCGCCCCCAAGAGCATCGCGTAATTCAAAATCATGGTGATCGCAGAGGGCGGCGCGGGAAAAACGCGCGGCCGGCTGCGCCGGCGTCGCGAACCGCGCCTGGGCCCGGCGCGCCCGCTTCAGGCCCGGCCCGGCGCGGCCCAGCTTCGGGCGGAACGCCGCCGCCGCCCCTGGCTTGCTGAAATCCGCAGCCGCGGCCCCCTCGAAGTGCATCGCGTCGCCCTTCAGCGCCGCCGCCTCGCCCTTTTGATCCAGCGCGTCCAACGGGAGGCGCCTATCCGTCGCTGGCAAGCCCGCCATCAACGTCTCAAACAGCTGCTCCTGGGCCGTCGACGCCGGGGGGATTCGAAGAAAGACCGACCACGGCAACAGCCCGTCTCGGCCTCCCCCAGCTGCCGCCCACAGGCCGCCAGGTGGCCCTCGCGCGCCCTCGGGCGCTCTGGCCGCTGCAACGATCTGGCCCCGCGCCGCGCGCGCGGCGGGCCGCCGGCGCGCCGGCGCGCCCGCCGCCGGCCGCTCGCCCTTGCCGCCCAGGAGCGGCCTCGGCGCATGGCGAGCCAGCCCCCAGGCCGGCCCGCTCCGCGGCCCGCCCTGCCTGCCTCGCCGCGGCCAGGCCACGCGGGCCGCGCGCCGTCGAATGCCCGGCGGAACTCGCGCCCATGCGGCCGATGCAGACGGGCGGATTTGCCCGCGGAGTTATCTTCTGACGTCGCCCACCTAGCGGCTGGACCCACCCCCGCGACGAGACATAGACTGCCCCGCTGCCTGCACATGCGATTCAGCACTGTGACCGACGAGCGGCGTTTGCCCAACATCAACGCCGCCGCCATCGCATCGGCGACGGAAAAGAGACGGCGGCCATGACTATACAAGCACTCCCAACACACTCTTGTGAAACCGATTGCGCGGGAAAACAGCGACAACATAAACAGATTCTTGAATTGCAGATCACCCTTGGAAATAAATGCATCTGAGAACGCCAAATCAATGGATGATTTGAAAACTGATACTATGGATCTTGAGATCGATTGTAAGTTCGATGCTGGGATCGATAGTGGAATCGATAGTGAGGACGATTGTAAGGCCGATCGTGAGACAGAGAGGGCGATCGATTTAATGAGATCAATATCGAGATCGATCGCGAGAACGCTCATGCGATCTCTAGTGAGATCGCTTGTGAGATTGAAAGCGAAATCCAATGTGAGATCGACGGTGGGATCGATCGAGAAATCGGTAATGAGATCGATAGTGAGACCGATCGATAAGAAAATCGACCAGGAACCCGGGGACCTGGGAACCTCGCCGCCCTCCGACATCGGCCCGGATCCCGGATCCCAGAACCAGGAACCCGGGGGCCGGGAACCCAGCGCGCGACCAAAATCGGCGGGGCACTTTCGCCAAATCCTTCAACATTCGCGAGGGCCCCTTCGGTGCAAGCGCTGATAGGGGACAAACGACATCTCGGTTGGACGCGCGGCCCCCCGCCAGGAAAATTGTGGCAACGGCCGAAACTCGATGGACTGACCGCACGGTGTTTTCCTAGCAAACTCAGATAATGAACCAGCCGAGGTCGAAACAAAAAAAACGTAAACGAAGAAACTGCTTTATACCAGAAGCATAAACATACCTTTGCGACGCAGGGACAATGTATGCAAAGCAATAACAAGCATACATAAATATAAGGCCTCTAGAAGCTAAGATTTCGCGTTCAGATCCACTCTGCCTTATAGTTTCAACACGCGCGAACATTCATTGTTTGAAACGCGCTCCCTTCGCGCAGCCGCCGTCGTCGCGCAGGCGCCGCGCAAAATTTGACAGCGCCGGGTTGTCCTGAGGACGGCGCCCGCCAACAAACATCGGCAACGAAATCTTGGATCCGGGTCACCCCAGTCCAGCAGCGACTGCCAGGACTGAAACTATGTAGACGACGGAGCTTGTGTTTCAAGGCCCAGAAGGCAGCGCGCGTCAAGCAGAAGCGTGGATTCGCGCCGCGGCCGCCGGGCTGCGCTCGCGGCCCGCCGGGGCCCCGACAACGCACGGGCGGCCCCTTGTCGAAACAGTTGAGAAGTGTAGCCGTCGTCCTGGCCAGTCGCCTCAGAATCGCAATTGTGGCGGCGGCGAGCGCGCGGCCCGGCCATGGCGCCCAGCTCGTCGGCCCCGCCGCGCCGCCATCTCTCGTGCACGCGACCCGCCCGCCGCGCCAGGGTTGGGTCGCGCGCCCCCTCGGCCACCCCGCGGCGAGGCGTCCGAGACCATCGCGACCACTCCCCATCCCGCGGCCAGGTCGAACCAGGGGCGGCGGGCGCGCGGCCCGCCGCGGCCCCCGCCGCGCGGCGGGTCACCGCGCCGCGAGCTCGCGCCGGCGCGCGCGGACGAGGCCGCGCGCCGCCCCGAGGCGCAACGCGACCTCGCGCCGGAGCAGCGCCGCGAAGGTCAGAAGGCGGCCAACGTGACCTCCGCGCGCCAACCGCGGGCTCGCGGCCGGGACAGCCGTTCTCGCGCCCCATAGCGAAACCGCCGCATCCTCGCTGACCTCAGCGCGACCGCCGCTGCGTTGCTCCAGCTCGAGCAAGTGCCGCCGACTCTACCTTCCGCGCTGCGCGTCGGCAGCCACAGCTCCTGCATTTCTTCTTCTCCTGGGGCTCGCCCCGCCCGCCAAACAGCCGCCGATCGTCTGGCGGCGAGGGGGCGAGCCGCGCCACTTCCTCGTGCACGGCCTAGCGCGCGCCCAATGCCGGCGACCGCCCCGCGGGCGCGGCCGCGAATGCGGCGCCGCCATCTCGTCAGGCCACGCTGTTCGAAGCCCCTCGCGCTCGGTCACCTTAGCGTCGCCCGCCCCGCGCCCACCTCGATGGACCCCGCGGAGGCCCAGCCCCCCCAGGCGCGCGTCGCCAGGCCCCCCAAAAGGAATGTTCGACAACCCGCAGTCCGCAACGAGCCTCACCTCAGACGGAGAACAGACCTACCTGCCCGGCACAGGCCCTGAATTCGGAACTCGATGAGCCCCCTGACCGCGAGATCCCGCGCCGGGCGGCTGTAGTGCCGACGGTTTCGCGGCAAAGGGGGGCACGACCACGGGGTGTGAGCCACCAGCCCCGCCGTTAGGCGCGCCTGCGCGGGGGCGGGGGTGGGGGGCGGATCGAGGAAGGGGGCGTCGGGATCGCAGGAGAAGGGGCGCTTACAGGTGGCGCCCTCCCGGTCGCTCCAGCGCGCCTGCGCCTGCCTGGCGGCGCGGCGCCACAGCCCCGCGCCGATGGCCACGGCCAGCCGCCTGCACCGCCACTTCTCATCAGAGCAGCCACGCCTCCGCGACTGCTTCATCGCGAGAGTGCGCGAGCAGCGGGGCAAGAGGGGCAGCCTGGCAAGGCGGCGGGCGGCCAGCCCACAGTCTAGCCTGTTGGGCAAGGTCCCACAACACGCCGTGCGCGAAGGGCACCGCCCTGGCCATCGCGCGAGACGACTCGGCCGAAGCTGGTTGACAGGAAACGGCCAAGGTGCATTCTGATCAGAACTTCACAGCGCATCCAGCCGTGGCGACGAGGGTCTCCCAGAGGAGGTCCAGAAAAGCAAGAACGAGGCAAGGGTAGCGGTATCGGTACCCTCCCCTCCTCTGACCGAATGACGGCCCGCTCTGATACCAAATCTACGGTTGGCATCTGCATGGAATCGAAATCGAATCGGATCGGCTGCGCCAAAATGCACAGCAACGCCATGCAAGCATCGGGCTGCATCGGATAGTCGGAATATCGGAATCGAATCGAACCAGGCCGGCCAACACCGATATCGAATTGGACCCATCGGATCGAAAAAGACCCCGACTTCCATATGACGGGCCGCTCCGATATCAGATCTGCCTCGGTGACACAATGGCGCTCCTTCTCGAGCACCTTGACGGCCACTCGCTCGCCCGTCAGGATGTGCGTGCCCAACTTCACCTTGCCAAAGGTGCCCTCGCCAATGGTCTTCTGGAGGACGTAGTGCCCAATGGACTTGGATCGCGGCCTCCTTTAGGCGTGCTAATAAGGGAAGAGTGGAATACAGAATTGAGGCCAAGAGAACTGAAGGGAACAAGCAATGACATAAACATGAAAATTCAAAGGTCCGCGCGGACTCCTCGGATCGGCGCTGGGGCCCTCTGGCGGCGCCTCTGGCGCCGCCCCTGGAGATCCGCGTGGACCGTCGACAGTTCATGTTCATACAGTTTTTGTTCGTCGACTTTGGTCATGGTATTGAAGGGGAAAGTTGAATAAAGAATTGAGGCCAAGAGTTGGCCAGACTGGGTACGCACTGTAATTTCTGAAGCTCGCCCGTACTCCTTGCGCTCATTGCCACTGACAGAACCTTCAGCGGAGGCAACCCTGTGCACGCATGGTGGGAGACTGGAGTGTAGCGCGGGGTCAGAGGCCGCGAGCGAATGGAAAATACGCCTCCTCGGAGGGCCGAGCCGATACAGCCATGCGCCAGCTGCTGGACAGAGCAGGAATGGACGCCCGCAGGGGACAAGAATCCCCAGGACGCTCTGAGGAGGAAGAAGAGGAGGAGGAGGAGGAGAAGGAGGAGGAGGGGGAGGAGGAAAAGGAGGGGGCGGAGGAAGAGGAGAAGGAGGAGGCGGAGGAAGAGGAGGCGGAGGAGGAGAAGGGGAGGAGGAGGAGGAGGAGGAGGAGGAGGAGGAGGAGGAGGAGGAGGAGGAGGAGGAGGAGAAGGACCAGTGTAAACCTGGGTCTCCTCTCATCAGCGATCTGGGATCAACCTTCCAAGTTCCCTCTTCATAGGCTCCCACACGGCTACATTTTCACAAAGAATAGAAACCCGTTGGAAGACAACCGTTTGAAAATCTGGAATACGCCAGAACGCCATCCCTGGGACTTCAACGCCGCGAATCACCGTTACTCTTGCGATTTGGCGACCCGGAACCCTGCCAAAACACCATTCCTAGCACTTCAACATTGCGACTCAACGTGACCGTTGCGTCCGGAATCGTGCCAGAACATAATTCGCGGGGTTTTAGGGTCGCACATGAACGCGACGGCTGCCCCCTGACGTTCCGACATCGTGCCAAAACGCCATCGCTGGGACGCTGCCCGTGAGAATACTGAAAATGACTGCGAACTCTTATGACGAACGTGTGCGGTTCTAAGGCGAGCGCCGAATTTTGAAAAGGAACCGACCCCCATCCGTGAAACTCTTCGAACTTACAAAAACCGATGGACGCGGCGCTACGGCGAGAACCACACTTTGCAAGCGGGCCGCTCTCCGTCCGTGAAATTCGGACAGTTCTTAGACCAAGTGCGCGCGGCGCTAGGGCGAGAGCCACACGTGGAAAGCAGGCCGCTCTCCATCCGTGAAACTACTGCAGACTTCGAGCTTCAAGATCACAAATGGCGAGGAAGTCTCAGGCGAAACGAATGGCCCCTTTTTTTGTGTCTGCTTGTCTCTTCCTGTTCACTTCAAACCCATAGGTTCCTGGGCCCAGGCAAGGCCTGCGGCCGAGGCGCCCGTGCGGGAGCGAGGTGGGCACCCACGCAAGCCGAAAATAAGTTTAAATGCCCAGGCAGAGGGGGGCCGACCGCGCTGGTCCGAAGGTCCCGACTCGCAGCCCGAGTGCTGGGGGCCTCTGCGAGGGCTTCCCCCGAACGGCTCCCGCCTGCCTCGAAACCCCTCCGGCCAGGGCCGCGGCGATCCTCCTCTGACAGGCGTCGTCCTCGGAGTCGGTGGCCACGGGGGGCCCGAAGGGTCAGGGAGGTGCCTGCATGGGCCTCTGACGAGATGGTCCAGGTCACCGGGGCCCAGGGGGCATTCCACAACCACTCCTGGCCTCTTGGGATGTTGGCCGCGAGAAATGGCCGACCAAACCCTTTTTGGCCGAAACGGGCGGGCGCGCGCGCACGTCACTCGTAAACCTTTAAATCTGCCGTGAGAAGAATAAGCTTTGCACGCCATGCAAACAAAGAGAGTAGCGCCGTCCGAGACAGAGGCCCCAAACGCGCCCACAGAGGCCCCAGCCCGCAGAGGCCCCAAGCGCGCCCGCAGAGGCCCCGGCGCGCTGTCCACTGAGGCCACCGACGCAACCCACAGAGGCCCCAGCCCACAGAGGCCCCAAGCGCGCCTGCAGAGGCCCCAGCGCGCTGCCCACTGAGGCCCTCCGACACAGCCCACAGAGGCCCCAAGGGCGCCCACATAGGCCCCAGCCCGCAGAGGCCCCAAGCGCACCCACAAAGGCCCAAGCGCTGCCCACTGAGGCCCTCCGGCACAGCCCACAGAGGCCCCAAGCGCGCCCACAGAGGCCCCAGCCCACAGAGGCCCAAAGCGCGCCCGCAGAGGCCCCAGCGAGCTGCCCACTAAGGCTGCCCAACGCAGCACACAGAGGCCCCAAGCGCGCCCACGGAGGCCCCAGCCCGCAGAGGTCCCAGGAACGGCGCTCTCGCATGAGACTTCTTCGCAATTCAATCAAGTTCGCGGATGCCCAGCCGCGACGACAAGGCTCCCGCTCGACATTTCCTCGCGACTTACCCTGGGAGGCCCTGGCCAGAGAGGTTCCCGAACTCAGGAACAGCGCTCTCGCTGGAGACTTCCTGGCAACTCAATCAAATGAGTGGGGGCGCAGCCGCGATGACAAGTGCTCCCGCTCGATGCTTCCTCGCGATTTGCGCCGAGAGGCCCTTTGTCGTGGTCCATCCTTCTCTTCCCCCATCCGTCCCGTCTTCCCCTGTTTTAACTAGGGGCTGAGTTAATGTGCGTGGCAAGTAAGGAAGATATACCCCCGAGGGGGTACGGTCGAAGACAAAGAGGGCGGGTATCGAGGGTTTGGGATGTACGCGTTGCGTGGCTCGCGATCGAATAAGAACAAACAATCTTAAAATTATTGTTGAACTCTCACTTCTAAAAAATATTGTTGATCCCCCCTCACCGGTGCATATTGTTCTTTCTCCATCAAAATGTGCCCCTCGACGCTCGCACCCTGGTTTTTGACATGGAAAATCTTGATGCTCAAACTGCGCTCTTGGCCCCCGAGATGCAACGACAACGGCTCCCGCCTGAGACTTCCTCACAATTTAGCCAGCGGTCTCGTTCGCGGCCGTTTTGTGGGGATGTCTCGAGCGGTTTGCCTGTTTTCTGTCCCAGCATCCTTCGCTTTCGGAGCAGATTTGGAGAATGTCTCGAGCGAGGCGCTCATTTTCACGTCCCTAAGGGGAGCCGTCGAGGGGTATGACACGGTCCCGTTCGCGGCCGTTTTGTGGGGATGTCTCGAGCGGTTTGCCTGTTTTCTGTCCCAGCATCCTTCGCTTTCGGAGCAGATTTGGAGGATGTCTCGAGCGAGGCGCTCATTTTCACGTCCCTAAGGGGAGCCGTCGAGGGGTATGACACGGTCCCGTTCGCGGCCGTTTTGTGGGGATGTCTCGAGCGGTTTGCCTGTTTTCTGTCCCAGCATCCTCCGCTTTCGGAGCAGATTTGGAGGATGTCTCGAGCGAGGCGCTCATTTTGGGCCAGATGTTGAGGATGTCTCGATCGGTTTGCTTATTTTGGTGGCCAGGCTCGTGGGCGCAGATTCTTTTGAGGATGCCGCAAGAGGCTCCAACAGGCTCCAGGAGGCCCCAGGAGACCACATGAGGTCCCAGGATGCATCAGGAGGCTACAGAAAGACTCAAGAGGCCACAGGATGTCCCAAGAGGCTCCAGGAGGCCCCAGGAAGCTCCAGAAGGCCTCAGGAAGCCACAGGAGGCCCCAGGAGGCCACAGGAAGCGCCAGGAGGCATCGGAAGGCAACATGAGGCCCCGAGAGGCCCCAGGAGCAGGAGGCCTCAGAAGGCAACAGGACTGGCTCCAATCCCATATGTTTCAAGTATGATCCTATCGATTGGGCCTCACTTGGAGCACGATTCCTTGAGGTTATACGTATGCTTCTATATAGTGTCCATCTCCTGTGTACTCAATCCTACATGTGTTACTTATGCTCCTATATATCGGGCATCTCCTGGGGCACGAGTCCTTGGTGGTTTAAATGTGTTCCTAAATATTGCCCTTCTCCTGTGGCTCTAATCCGCAATGCTTTATGTATGTCTGTTGCTATAGATTGGGCCTCTCCTGGGGCACGACACCTCCATAGGAGGTCCCAGGAGGCCCCAAGAGGCTCCTGGAGACCCCAGGAAGCCCCAGTAGGTTTCAGGAGGCCCCAGGAGGCCCCAGGCTCATGCGCAGAGACGCGCTCGTACTACTGAGGCTCATTCACAATCCAAGTCATTCGCAGTTAGATTCATGTCCAGACCGTCACAACAGGAGCCCGTTTATATTCGAAAGCTCTCGCGCCTAGACATTCACGGCGGACAGGTCCATGCGAATCTGTGCACATATGGGGAGCTCCACGTAGTGAATCATTTTTGTAAGTGTAGGTGTCCGATTTGGCGCAACACCTGGCGGGCGCCGCGGGTAAAGAAGTAAAAAAAAGTGCGGCGAAGCTTGGTACCTAGAGTAGGCGCCCGCCAGGTAGATCCGAGGGCAGTTGAAGTACCTCGGTAAGTAACCTTCTCACCCCCTACCCGCCAGCTCTATGCCCCACACCCTAGATCTCTGGTACTGGCTGCCTCGGGTAAAAGTGCAAGTGCAAAGCGGTGAGGAGAGGCAACATATAGAAAAGTGGCGTCGGGTGACTACCAAAAGTAAGGCTGGCCTGTTCGGCTGGCCTGCGCTGTGTAAGTGTGGCGTCATGCTAATAGGTTGGCTGGGCTACAGTAGGATGAAGCGAGGCTGGGAAGTGGGCAATGTGGGCACAGAGCTGCTACACATTGCCTACTGTAAGAAGCTGGGAGGTCGACAACGTGCACAGAGCTGCGAGGTAGACAACAGACGGAAATAGCTGCGCGCCGCTAACAACTTGTGGCTCCGTGGGTGGTAAAGGCTCCCTGAGTAGGAAGGGCTTGTACTCAGAGACCCAAAGTGGGTAGCTGTACGTGCTCCCGTCCCAGCCACCCCAAGTACCACCACCACCACCACCCCATCACCAACCAAGATCAGAGTCGGGCAAATCAGGCTGAGGTAGACAATGTGTACAGACCTGCATGGTAGCAGCAGGACGGTAAGAACTGCGCGATGCTTGCAATGTGGCTCCTTGTGTTACAGTAAGATGAGAAGCAACATGCAAATAGTGGCGTCGGGTGACTACCAGAGGCAAGGCTGACCTGTTAGGCTGGCCTGTGCGGTGTGAGTGCGGTGGCATGCTAACAGGCTGGTCTTCAGTAGGATGAAGTGAAGCTGATAATTGGTCAAGGTGGGCATAGGGCTGCTTGAATTGCCTGCTGTAAGAGGCTGACAGATACGCAATGTGCACACAGATGCGAGGTAACCACAGGGCGGTACTAGCTGCGCGCCGCTCGCAATTTGTGGTTCCTTGGGTGGTACAGGGTCCCTGAGAAGGAAGGGCCTTCACTCAGAGACCCAAGGTGGGTAGCCGTACTCCTCCTCCTCCTCCTCCTCCTCCTCCTCCTCCTCCTCCTCCTCATGGGTCGCTTCGGCGGAAGTCGGCGGCCAAGTCGGGAAGAGTCGACTCGGCGGAAATCGGCTGGCTAGCAAGGCCTCCATGGAGAAGTCGGAGCCGCAGCCCAAGATCGGAATCCCAAGTCGAATCGAATCGGAACGGGAAGCCATCGAAATCGAATCGGAACGGGAACGGGAATCCCAAGATCGGAATCCCAGGTCGAAGCGAAATCGAAGCGAATCGGATGGGAGGAGTCGACACGAGCCCCGCCAGAGGGCCCTCGGCGGCCGGCAGAGAGCAGAGGAGCGAGCGCGCGGGCACGCGGGAAGGAAGGAGGGAGCGAGGCAGCGAGGGAGCGCGGGAGGCAGGAGGCAGGAGGCAGGAGGAGGAGGCAGGAGGCAGGAGGAGGAGGAGGAGGAGGAGGAGGAGGAGGAATAAGGAGGGAGCGAGGGAGGGAGCGATGGAGCGAGGGAGGCAGGAGGAGGAGGCAGGAGGAAGAAGAAAAGCCTTTGTGCGGGCGCGCCGCTCTGCCCAGTGGAGCGCTGCGGCAACCGCTGCTGCAGGCCGCCCGGGCCGCACGGCGCCCGCGGCAGCCGGCTGGGGGCGGCCCGCGGACGAGGAGCGACCTCAACCCGCCGGAGACCCAGGGAGCCGCTCGCGCTCGTGCGATGCCGTTCTTCGCCTGCCTGACCCACGCCGAGAAGACCAGGGGATGCCTCGGGCGCGGCTGCAGCTTGAGGGGCCAGAGGGGGGGCGCGGGGAGGGCCGCGGCCAGGGAGGGCCAGGGGAGGGCGCACGGAGGGCCAGGGATCTCGGGAGAGCGAAGGCGTGGACTGGGACGCACGCATCAATCAGCGACGGGCCCCGTTTCCGTGCACAGTCGGCACGCCGCGTCGCTAAATGAGGCGGCGATGTCGCCATGCTTCGGAGGGTACGTTCCCCGGTCCGTGGATCTGGCGCCCACGCGACAGATCCACGGATCCCTAATCCATGTTAGCGTGCGCGCGACGGGAGGGGCAGGGAGCGCGGATGAGGAGCAGCTGGAGGCCCAGGGAGGGCCGGGAAAAACGGGACGCTCAGGGAGCAGCCTGCTGGAGGACAGGGCGCCCAGGAAGTAGCCAGCGCTCTTTGAATCAACCGACGTCTGCTCGGAGCTCGGTCGGACCTCCCACCAAAATGTCAAAACTTGGAACCGCCTTCGAACGGAATTTCGACGTCTCATGACACCAGCTCTACCGTGGCGCCCAGAACGCACAAACAAGAACCTGCACTCGGAGTAGGGGAATGAGTATTCCCCCCCCCCGCTGGGGAAAACTAAAGCAAGGCGATGTGTAAAGAGAGCCCCGTGCAATTCGAGTAGGAGATCGACTATAGAATTGGTGTACCCCAACCTTGAAGTGTTAGCCTAAATTGCGAGGAACACGTCGAAATTACATATACGCAGTATGCACGAACGGCATCGCATTTTGTTCGCATATTCGGCGGAACAAAAAAGTTAGGGGTACATCAATACTGCAATCGATCTGTTACTCGACCAATGCCGGTGGCCGCACGGCAAAACGATTCTACAACCCGAGCCCGCAGTTTTTGCTTCCTGGAGTCTGGTGAAGAGTATTCCCCCCCCATCCCCGCAGGGGGAACCTGCAGCAAGGCGATGTGTTAAAAGAGCTCTGTGCAATAACGGTGGCCGCACGACAGAACGACTCTACAACCCGAGCCAGCAGTTTTTGATCTCGAGTGCTTTCTTGCCCTCAGCCTGCGCTCAAGCCAACGCCACCTTGACGCCCGCCTGAGCCTCCGAGCCGTTGCGCTGCAACGCGCTCTGATCTGGGCCGGGCATGTACGGCGCAAACACCTTGGCATAACGTCTCTCGTCCTTTTGGGAGCCAAAAAGCCCCCCCCCGACCCCCAGCCAGGACCCTATTTGATCACCAGGTCGGGAATGGGGGTCCTGGCGGGGGTGGGAACGGGTTGTGCTGTCCTCAGTCCTCCTCCGATACGGAAGCCTTGGTGGCTTTCAGCGCTGCCTGCAACTGCGGGATGGTCACCGCTGGCGCTTTCTGCAGCCCAGTGCCAGCCCCAGCAACATCGCGGCACTTCAGAGCCTCGTTCACGGCCTCGATCTTCGCAGACGAGAAGACGGCCCCGATGTCGGCGCACGTGAACAGGCGGGGCATCTGGTCCACCAGCCGACGCAGCTGCGTCCGCAGGTCGCTGGGTGAGACGCCTCTAGACGACACGCCCTCTGCGGTAGCCAGGCAAGACTGAGGCAACCAAGAGCCCCAGAGGGTGGCCCCAGCCGCCCAACATTGGCACGAGTGGTCCGAGGCAACCCCGCAGACTCCAGGCGTCGCCTCTGGCGGTGCCTCCCTGAGGTGCAGGGTGTTCTCGGTAGGTGGCGCTCCCGGGGGGAGGTGAGAAGGGGCGAGCCTTCTCAGACGGCTCGGAAGGCCTTCTGCCTTCTGAAGATCTGTTCTAAACCTTCTTCGAAGACACAACGGACTTCACGGAAGTCTCGAGAGCTTTCGAGAAGCCCCACCGCCTTCTGATTAGGCCTGCTCATTCTCACTCTCCCCTCCTCGCGCGCCGCCGAACAGCTGCCAGGAAGTCAAATCCGCTCTAAATTGGTCCACGGATCCCTCCCGGGATCCATCTGGTGCAATTTTTCGCCCTGGATCCGTTTTCGACAGCCCCGGGGCCCGAAAGCGGCCCCTTTGAGGCTGAGAAGGGCCAAAAACCTGCCCGAACCCAGAACCTCGAGCCTGGGGGAGGCGCGTTTGGGGAGCCTCGGATCGCTCTTCCGCCAGCTCTGGGCAGCTCAGGTCGCCTTCAGCGCTGAGCCACAAGCAGGTGCGTTGATGGCCAGGGCATTGCCTGGCTACTCTGTGGTGAGGCCGCTCTTGGCGGCCAAGATCTCGCAGATCTGCAGCTTATCCTGCAGCGCACAAGAATATGCTAGGGCAACGACGACGACGACGGATACGACGACGTGTCCTCCTTGGAGGCGTGTGTTCTTTTGGAGCCAGGGGGGCGCAGGACGCAGGAGGACACACTATAGGGGAAACAATCATGACATTCACAAAAAACTCGGAGGTCCGCACGGATTCCTCGGATCGGCGCCGGAGCCCCCTGGCGGCTCCTCTGGCGCCGCTCCTGGTGCGATCCGCCTGATCCAAGAACCCAGCGCGGACCTCAGAGTTTTTGCGTGTATGTCATTGCTTGTTCCCCGATGCTAATACTATGCGCCTTCCTTGGAGGTGTGCGTCCGACCCGAGCACGTTTTGTACAACCATCTTGTAACACATCGTTTACGGAGCTTACAATGTAAGACTTCTCGGCGCGAGTGTCGCCCCTGGGGGACGACGCGCACATAGTATGAGCATGCTGCAGTGATGCCGATGTCCTCAGCGCTGGGGAAGCCGCAGTAGCAGATGCGGTCGAAGCGCCCAGGCCTCATCAGCGCCGCGTCCACGAGGTCGGGGCGGCCAGAAGCAGCAACGACGAAGACGCGACCTCGAGGGACACCCCACGAATGCAAAACAACTGTGCGGACAACGTGTCGCTTCGCTCCGCGGTGCTTCCGCTACGACGCCCGCGCGCGCGGCCGCCCATGCGAGGCAGGGATAAATCCATATCCACCGCCCGTGGAACCGACGTCCTGCGACCCCAGCGGGCGGTGGATATGGATATGTGGGCCCCGCAGGCCCCGAAGGTATCAGTATCCACCCCTCGGAGCCCACGCAGGCCCTCTTCCTCTGCCTCCCCGAAGGTCGGGGGGGGACGACGAAAGAGTGGGGATAGCAAAGGGTACGGTAGAGAATCAGCTCGCGCAGCTGATTTTCCCAGCGCCTCCCGGCGCCGGGAGGCGCCCATGGATCGAGGAATGGGCCCGGCGGCGGGGCCGAAACCAGCTGCATGCAGCAGATGTCGCACCCCCCCTTTCCCTATATCCCCCACTTTCGTTCGGCCCGAGAAGGGCGCCGCACTGGCGGCCCTCCCCTCCCGCCTCCCCTCCCGCGCTCGTGGGGAGGCGCCACGCTGGGGACAACCCTCACCTGCGCCCACCGCTCCGCAGCGCCGCCTCTCCCGATCGACATCCGCTCAATATCCGGACCGCTCCTTGGGCCCGTCCTGGCTAAATGTTTCATCCCGGGCAAGTTCCTCACCGTCCGGAAACCCGAAACCAGCCCCAAGGAGCAGAAATCAAAGAGCCCCCCCCACCGAGGATTGAAAATCGATTGACTAATTCTACATTGCGTTCGTCGTTCTCGTGGGGGGGGTCTGAGTATATCTGTTCGGGCCGAGCGTCTCCCAGTCAATGCAACGATGGCGGTTGTGACGAGGGTCTCCGATGAGAACCAGTTCTCCGGATGAGAGTGACCGTTCTCAAGATTGCTGCAGAAGACAGCTGCATGTCGGGCCGATCATCAACACCCGATTTCCAGGGACCAGCAATTAAAACACTTCATAAGCACAGAATTTCGGAGGTCCGCGCAGAACTCTTGGGTCGTCACTGGTCGCGCCATGGCCCTGGCGCGCTCCCCGCGCCAGACGGGGGGAGATCCAGCGCCGACCCAAGAAATCCATGCGTACCTTCCCTCCGACAGCTTGTGTATCCCAGCCATCCTTCGTGATGGTTCGAGCACTGCTGCCTCCTTCTCGTCCTCCTCCCCCTCTTCTCCTCCATCTTCTCCCTCCTTCTGCCTGCCTGCCTGCCTGCCTGCCTGCTTCTTCCAATGCGCATCTGTCGCAACGTTCGTGAGCTCCAGGGAAGCCTAGCGAAGTGGTGTCCTAACTGCGCCAGTGTCGCCACTTTCGTGTGCCAGCTGCGCAACAGTCGTCCCCTGCGCGTGCTGCTGAGAGGTCCAGCGGAGTGGCGTCGAACTCAAATCCAAATAAGGTCTCGCCCCCCCTGGGGGCTGCTGTCTGCACAAGTGCTGCCACTTTCGTGTGCTCCCTGGAGCACCAGCGGGGTGATGAAATGCGCAAACCCAAACGACCCCCCCACCCTCTCTGGGGAAAACCAACTGCGCAACTGTCGCTACTTTCGTGTGCTCCTGGGAGGTCCAGCGGAGTGGTGCCTCGCGCATATCCAAATGAAGGCTCGCCCTCCCTGGGCGCTGCCAATTGCGCAACTGTCCCTCGTGGGCTCCTCGGACACAAGGGTGGTGCCAAACGCAGACTCCCCCTCCTCCTCCTCCTCCTCCTCCTCCTCCTCCTCCTCCTCCTCCTCCTCGTCCTCCTCCTCCTCCTCGTCCTCCTCCTCCTCCTCCTCCTCCGCCGCCCCCGCCCCCGCCCCGCCCCCGCGCCCGCGCCCGCGCCCGCCCCCGCCTTTTTCCTCCTCCTCCTCCTCCTCCTCCTTCTCCTCCTTCTCCTCCTCCTCCTCCTTCTGCCACGCGGACCCTGCCTCTGGGACCCTGCTGTCGGACATCCGCTTCGACCTTGCCGCCCTCTTCCCCACCCCACCCCGGTGAGGACCATCATGGGCCTCACCCGTGAGGACCATCATAGGCGTCACACCCCTTGCGGCGTCAGTTGCCAGTGGAGGGGGCCGAGGACCTCCCTACGGCCCCTCGGCCACCGAATACGGCCGTAGGGAGGGGTCCAAACGTACCTCCACATTCTTACACCTTTACATCAATGAACCAATCAAACGATTCCTCATATTCCTCGATGGGGCCGTGAACTGGATTTATCCCCTGCCTGCTGACTGTGCCTGTCAATGTCAGAACACCATTGTCCGTCACATTATGGCGTCATACACCAAGGGTCGCCCAACGTCGTCCGCGCCCTGCGGTTCCGTCAAGCTCCCGTATCACTCATGCCGCGTTGATGTGCAAGCCAACCACCCGGGTGATGGTTCGACCCGTGCCGCCGCGATGTCACATGTGCCACCGTGGTGTCACTAATGCGGTCGTTCCCCCTCCCCACCACCAACCGAACTCTCCCTGGACGGGCTCGTTGAAATTCATTGTCGTCGGCGTCGCTCCTCACTGCAGTCTCTTTTTGGGGTCAATTGGGGGGTCGCGGGGCGTGCCTTCGTCGGTATCGGTTTCGTTGTCGTCGTCACCGTCGTCGTCGTCTTCTGTGTTGTTGTGTTGTTACCCTCCCTCCTCTCTTCTCCTCCACATTTACACAATATGAGTACTACTCTCCTCTCCCCCCTGATGACGTCCGGAAAATGTCAGGCCCGCCTCCGCGTACTGTTTGTTTACACACAAGACTCCCGGGAGTTGGGTTTACGTTTTTTTGTTGTGTTCAAAATTTTGCTCCCGCAGAAGCGCTGGCCCCATGTTCGGGCTGCGCGCTAGCACATGATAGCACCAGTCGGACTCAAGTACTTGTTGTACGGTGGTCGGAGGGGTTCCGGGACTCCAATGGCAACTCGCGCGCGGAAAAAAAAACAAATCCATGCGCCGCCAGGGGTCCCGGGTTTAACGGGTCGCCGCGAAGGTTGACCCCCGCGGAAAGAAACAACAATCAGGCCAGGGGGTTGGGGGGTTCAGGCATGAGTCGCGGGGCTGCTGAAGAAACATATGCGTATACATAACATGTTGAAGGTGCGCGGGTTTCTTGGATCGGCGCTGGACGCACGCCCCCTTTTTGGGTCTCCACGTGGCCTCTGTCCTCTACGCCATCAAGGTACGTCAACATCTGGTTCACCACCCGGTCTGTCACGCCCGTGGAGTCGGCGCCGCGTTTGGGCGCGAGTGCCTCGATCTCGTCGAAGAACAGCACGGAGGGCGCTGCGGCTGCCGCGCGTTCAAACACCTCGGGGGGGGGGAACATGAAGGGGGGGAGCAGAAGAAAACGCACTTAACCAGAGGAACAAACAACTGCATTAACCCTACTCCGACAGAAGGACCCCGCACGAGAACATACGAAACAGAAACGAAAGTAGTCATCGTCGTCATCCTTGTGAATAACGAGTCTTTCTTCCTGTGTTATCACCGCTCTTCTCCTTTTCGCCCCAGCGGCGGCTCTTCTCCCGCCCCCTGTTCTGCATCCTCCTTGTCCTCCTGGCCCCTCCACCGTCCACCTCGTCCCCCGTCTCTCACGCAGGGGCGCGCAAGTCGATTCTCCTCGGCGCCGTCGCCGCCTCTGCAGCATGCGCGCGTTGTCCGATGTTGTCCGATGGTCGGATCGCGAAGCCGATGGGGCAGCCCCGCGGGCCAGGCCGTTGGGGCAACCCTGCAAGCCGCTGGGGCGCGCGGGCAAGCCGTTGGGGCAACCCCGCAGGTCTCGAGCTAGTCGCGGCCGCGTAGAGGCGGGACGCAGCGCGAAGCCTAGCTCAGCCGGAGCAGCCAAAGACTCTCGCGTGAGCGGCCGCAGGACCAGCATGTTCTGCATGCGCGTGGCGCGGGGGATCATGACGTAGAGGTGCAGCCACCATTGCTCGCCCGACATGCCCGTGCGGCCCGCGTCCTCATCCCTGGCGCAATCGATTGTGGCGCCCTGGCGCAGCGTCTGGCTCTGCGACATCTTGGCGGTGAAGTGCGACGCGTGCGTCGGGGTGAAACCCGAGCGGCGCACGACGTGGCCCCCGCTCGAGACGTCCTCCTGACTCATGCCCGGAGAGCCCCAAAATAACGACGGCCACGAAGCTTCGACGACCCGCTCGGATAAGTGCCATGCCAGCCGAAGTTGCCCGATGACCCGCCTCGGATTCGAACATGAAGTGCGGGCCCCATGAGGGGGCGTCCTCCCGCTCGAGAGTTCCTCCCTATTCACAAACGATTTGCCTCCTGAGGGGCCCGGGTGCTACTTATGCTTGGTCGTGTTTTCCGATGACCCGCCCCGGATTCGAACATGAAGCGCGGGCCCCATAGAAAGTGGGCTCCCGCACGAGAATTCCTCACTATTCGCAGACGATTTGCCTCCTCGGGGTGCTCGAATGCTGCGCCTGGTAGGATGTTCCGTTAACCCGCGTCGGACTCGAGCGCGAAGTGTTGGTTCCATAAGGGGGAGGGCCCCAGCTTGAGACTTCCTCGTCATTTACTCACGAATGTCCTCCTGGGGGGCCCAAGTGCTATGCCTGGCAATACTTTCCGATGGCCCAACATGCATTCGAACATGAAGTGCGGACTTCATAAGTGTCCCCACCCCGAGACTTCCTCGCTATTCACTCACGATTTGCCTCCTCGGGGTGCTCAAGTGCTAAGCCTAATACAATTTTCTGGTGACCCACCTCGGATTCGAACATGAAATGCGGATCCCATAGAAACAGGGCTCACGCCCGAGACTTCGTCGCTATTCACTGACGATTTGCCAACTTGGGGCGCTCAATTGCCATGCCTGGTAGGGTTGTCCGATGACCGAACGTGAAGTGCGGGCCTCATAGGGAGAGGGCCCCCGCCTGAGACTTCCTCCCAAGTCGCCCACGAACGAGCCGTGCGCTCGATACTTCCTGCAGACAAACGCGTGTGTGTGTGTGTGTGTGTGTGTGTGTGTGTGTGTGTGTGTGTGTGTGTGTGTGTGTGTGTGTGTGTGTGTGTGTGTGTGTGTGTTTGTGTGCGTGTGTGTGTGTGTGTGTGTGTGTGAATGCTCGAGGGCGTGCGATGACGACGATGCGGTGATGATGGCGACCGACGGTTATGGTGTGATGACGATGATGATGACGATGCTTATGGTGGAGACTATGATGGCTATGATGATGATTCCTGCATTTGAAGAACAAATAAATGAAGTGGGTGTGTGAGTGCTGATGGTTGTGCTGGTGACAAGGACCGACCACAACGATGTTTAAAACACGCTGGCGTTTAGGACGAAAAAACAAAACGAACCCGACCGTTGTACAACGAACGTTTAAAACGAAACCGGTGCAAACGAAAACGAAAAACGAAACGAGGCCACCATTCATAGAGAAAACGAAACGGAAAACGAAACGAACTTCGCAGAACGCGCTGGAAACAAAACGAGAAACGAAACGAATACATGGGACGACGGCTGGGGCCAGGGCGAGGTTCTGTCTGGGGCTTGAATCAGACGAAACGACAGAACAAAACACACGAAGAAACAAAACGAAAAACGAACAAAGGCTGCGGCGAGGGCTACAGGGTCGGGGCTAGGGCGATGGGGCGATGTCCCCTTTGAGGCGCGTGCGAGAGCAAACGAAAAACGAAACGAAAAACAAACTCGGGCTGCGGCGACGGCTAAGGCCTGGGAGTCCAGGGAATGTCGCGTCTCTGGGTTGGGCTTGAGCAAATCAAAAAGAAAAGCGAACTCGGCCTACGGCTACGGTTGAGGGCTGCGCTAAGGCGGAGGGCGGAAGGTTCCGGTTGGAGCATGTGCTAAACCAAACGAAAAACAAAACGAAAAACAAACGAAGACATGGAACGACAGCTGGGGCCAAGGCGAGGTTAAGGCTGTGTCTTGAACCAGACGAAATGGCAAAACAAAACAAAACGAACAACAAACCGGTAAACGAACCAGGGCTGCAGCAAAAGCTACAGGGCCGAGGCTAGAGCGAGGGGCGAGGTCCCGTTTAAGGTGCGCGCGATTTCAAACGAAAGAACGAAAAACAAACTCGAGCTGCGGCGACGGCTAGGGCCTGGGGATCCAGCGAATGGCGAAATTCTGGGTTGGGCTTGAATTCAACCCAGAAGCCGTGTGAAAGAAAACAATTGTTTCATGCGTATTCTGGTGGCTAACATGGATCCCTACGGTGTGAAACAACACAACAACACGGGTGACACGTGTCACCCCGAAAACCGTGTGAAAATACAATTTGTTTCACTCATAGTCTGGACGCCAACATGCGGCCGTACAGTGTGAAACAAAGAACGGGCGACACGTGTCACCCCGAAAACCGTGTGAGCAGAACCAACTGTTTCAGTTGTATTCTGGACATCTACATTGGGGCATACAGTGTGAAACAACACGCGGGTGACACGTGTAACCCTGAACACCGTATAAGAAAACCAGCTGTTCCAATCATATTCTGGACGCCAACATGGGGCCACACGGTGTGAAACATCATACGGGCGAGCGACACGTGTCACCCCGGAACCGTGTGAGCAAAACCAATTGTTTCACTCGCATTCTGGACGCCAACATGGGGCCACACAATGTGAAACAACACGCGGGTGACACATGTCACCCCGAAAACCGTGTGAGCAAAACCAATTGTTTCACTCGTACTTTGAGCGCCGACATGGGACCATACAATGTGAAGCAGCACACGGGTGGCACGTGTCACCCAGAAAACCGTTTCGGAAATACCAATTGTTAAACTCGCATTCTGGTCGCCAGTATGGGGTCATACGGTGTGAAACAACACGCGGGTGACACGTGTCACCCCGAATATCGTGTGAGAAAAAAACAGTTCCTTCACTCGTTTTCTGGGCACCAACATGGAGTTATACAGTGTGGAACAGCACACGGGTGACACGTATCACCCCGACACTCCTATGAGAAAAACCATTTGTTCCACCAGTATTCTGGACGCAGACATGGGGCCATACATTGCGAAACGACACAAGGGCGACACGTGTCACCCCGAAAATCGCTTAAACAAAAAAAAAACGCTCGTAGTCTGATCGCCCACATGGGGCCAAACAATGTGAAACAACACACGGGTGACCCGTGTCACCCCGAAAACCGTGTGAAACTCACCAATTGTTTCACTCGTATCCTGGACGCCAACATGGGGGCACACAATATGAAACAACACACGGGTGACATGTGTCACCCCGAAAACCGTGCGAGAAGAAAAACAAGCTTCACTCGTATTCTGGTCGCCAACATGGGGCCATACGGTGTGAAACAACACGCGGGTGACACGTGTCACCCCGAACACCGTGTGAGAAAAACCAATTGTTCAAAGCATATTCTGGACGCCAACATGGAGTCATACAATGTGGAACAACACAAGGGTGACATGTGTCACACCAAAAAATCGTGTGAACAAAAACAACACCTGTTTCACTCGTATTCTAGACGCCAACATGGGGCCATACAGTGTGAAGCAACACACGGGTGACGCGTGTCACCTCGAAAACCGTGAACAAAACCAATTGTTTCACTCATGGACGCCTTCATTTGGTGCCACGTGTCACCACGAAAACCGTGTGAGAAAAACAATCGTTTCAACCGTATTCTGGACGCCAACATGGGGCCATACATTGTGAAACAACACACGGGTGGCACGTATCACCCCGAAAACCGCGTGAGAAAAACAAGTTGTTTCACTCGAATTCTGGTCGCCAACATGGGGTCATACAGTGTGAAACAACACACGATTGACACGTGTCACCCCGAAAGCCGCGTGAGCAAAACCAATCGTTTTACGTACTCCTAATTTGAACGTCAACATGGGGTCATACAGTGTGAAACAACACACGGGTGACGGGTGTCAACCCGAAAACCGTGTGAGAAAAACCAATTGTTGCACTCGTATTGGAGCCTAGGGCCCAGGATTCGTGGGCCCTAGACTCCAAGGCCCAGGATTCCTGGGCCCTAGGCTCCAAAGCCCAAGATTCCTGGGCCCTAGACTCCAGGGCCCAGGACTCCTGGGCCCTAGACCCCCGTCCCAGCTGACGTTGATGTTGGGGGTCCAGGGCCCAGGACTCCTGAGCCCTTCGCTCCAAGGCCCAAGACTCCTGGGCCCTAGACTCCGTGGCCCAAGACTGCCAGAGGAGGGTTGGACAAAAAACGAAACGAACGTCCGGAACTACGGCCGGGGCTACGACACGGGCTGGGGCCCAGGCTGAAGATCAGGCCAGGAGCGCAACAACAATAACGAGAGTGAAACAGCGAAATGAAAAACGAAACGAACGCCCGGGAACAGTGCCAGGGCGAGGGGCGAGATCTGGGCTAAGGCTCTCACCCAACGAAACGAAACGAACAACGAAACGAACGCCCATAACTTCGGCTGGGGCTACGGCAAAGACTGGGGACAAGGCTGGAGGCCAGGCCAGGCGCGCAACAAAACGGCGCGAAAGAACGGAACGAAACAACATCGGGCCATCGAAAACGAAGAACACAATCACCAACAAAACAAACAACGAAACGAAAATCAAGCAATACTCGAGATCCTTAGCAAACGTGATCAGAAAATCGAAGGACAACGGCGGCGCGAAACAAAACGGACAACGAAACGTACCGCGGAATGAACGGGGCAAACAAAACGAAAAACGAAACGCAAACTTGGAAACGCACCGAAACAAAACGAACAACGAAACGCGCGCCCCAAACGCATTTAAAACAAAAACGAACATCACAACAGAACACCACCAAAAAACACAACGAACAACACAACAAGGGCAACAACCAAACTACACATCGTTGTGGTCGGTCCTTGGCTCATGAGTGCGATGGGGATCATAATGGTGATGGTGCTGAAGACGATGATGCTGATGATGCAAGTGATGATCACGTTCGATACCATGTGGCAGGGACTGTCTCTGCTGACTGGGGGCGAAGGCGACTGTCTCACCGGCGGGAAGACAGACGGCGCATCAGCCAAACTCGAGACTAGTCAGCGAGAGAGAGAGAGAGAGAGAAGGGGAGACTTGAGCCGCAATGGTTGCGGTGCGCACCGTTACATCGATCAAAACACTCAGCAAGCAGTTATATGATCAGATTCCGTTCCACGTGCCAGGGGGTCTTTGCTGACTGGGGGCGAGGGCAACTGTCTCGCCAGCAAGAGAAGCGCCCGAAGACAGACAGCAGCCAAACTCGAGAGACCAGTGCTCGGCATACTTGCATTCTCTGGCCGACAGGCCGACCACACTAACGAGCCAGATCAGAATCACAACGCGAGTCTACAAAGCTTCGCTTCACGAAAATCCACTGCACATGTCACTGGCCAGTCGGCACCCCACTGAGCGAACTCACGTGGCTATGAATTGGCGCTGTGATCCCACGGGACACCCTGACTATCACGATCGGCAAGTCTGCGATGTCGACGGCGGCCAGAGCACTCACCACTCCCTCCAGCGCACAGAGAGCGAACAAATAGAGGAGGGGGAAGAGGGGCCCAGACCGCAAGCTGAGAGGGACGGGGGCGAAGGCCACCGACCAGGCAGAAGTTAACCTCAGTAGACTGCGAAACTAAAGAGCAGACGTGTTTGAAAGAGGCCAGCGCTGTCTGCGCCGAGCTGCGCGGACTTTCAGCTTCGACATGGGCTCTTAGGCGGTGGCACTCGAGGATCAAGATGGCGAGCGCACCCCAAAAACCCCAGAACCGAAAGGAGGGGGGGGCCCAGGGCCCGAGGCAAGGGGGAGGCCAGACGCCCGAGACCGCGCCCCGAAGCCGCCCCAAGATCCTCTGGCGCACCGCGGGTCGAGACCAATCCAACGGTGTTCGTTGGGGCCCACAAGAATGGCAGCGAATCCTAGGGCCCGCCAGCGCCACGCAATCGGCCTCGAGTCAGCTCCCGGGCCGCTGAACGACGCAGAACACGCGATGCAGACAGAGCGGCGGCCAGATGGCGGGTCAAATAGCCGTCCACTCGGCGTCGGAGAGGGCGTAACTTTTCCGCGCGACGACGCCGCCCGCCTCACTGGGACAGGTCGCGGCGTAGGTTTCCCCAGGGCAGCTGACTCGATCGGCTGTTCCAGATGAGCATCCGCCAGCTGGCCAAAGGTCATCGCATCGTCGGGCAGGTCGTTCATCTGTTGCTGTAGCGTGGCCCTCTTGGCGCGCCGCAGTAGGGGGGCCCTCCACCTCGGCAAACGAGCGCCGAGCCGCCAGGAGGTCGTCGCTGGCCGCGCTGCGCCGCAGGACGTACAGGGAGGACTGCGCCTCCAAGCCCAAGTGCTCCGTCGCCAGGTCGAAGGCTTCGCGCGCCCCCATCGCGTCGAACGCCCGCGGCGCCATGCCGCCGGGGCGAGCGATCTCCAGGGCAGCCCGCAACAGCCGCCAGCCGACCCGGTCCAGGGCGACGCTCTCGTGCGATCCCCGTTTTGCCGGGGCGGCCATCCTCGCTCGGGTTGAGCGCCAGGCCCCACTCGCCGTAGTCCTTTCCTGCCAGCGGGCTCGGGGGCGCGAGCGAATCGCCGCGGGGCCGCAAAGCCTCGGGGGGGCGCGGGTAGGCGGCGAAGTCGAGGAACACAAAACGTGGCGAAGGGCAGCTGTTCGATCGAGATCATGCCGCCCGCGATCGCCATCCCTGCAGGTCGGGGAATCGGCAGCCGCATGCAAGGCATCTTCAGCTTTTTCCAACCCTCCAACGCCTTGCACGCTCTCGGCAGAGAGGGGCGCGGGTGGCCCGGGGCAGGCAGCAAGTGGCGCGTCGCCACAGGAAGACCGCCAAGATCACGTCGAGCTCCTGCGCGGACGCCCTGAGCCAGCACCATCCACGGGCAACGAGAGATCAGCCACTGGGCGCGGGCCGCGTCGTGCTTGGCGGCGGCGTCGGCGAGCGTCGAAGCCTCCACCCGACCGAGCCGACGGCGACGCCTGTGGGGGGGGCCTCTGACGCGCCAGCGTCATTGCACGGGGCGGACGGCCCCCGCGAAAGCGTCCAAGGGGGGCCGCCTCCTTCTCGAGGATCGCCGAGCCACGGCGGCCCCGTGAAGAAGCCAGACCTCGACGGGGCATCGGGCGGGTTGAACTCCGACGGCGCCCAGCGAACGCGCGCCCTGCAGCCGGGAGCAAGAAGCAGCAAGGTTATTCGGCGCAGGGGTCCGGCGAGGTCGGCTGCGCGCCCACGGCCCATGCCAGCGGGGGGTAGCGGCGCCTGCGCAAGAGCCCCGAGCGCAGGGGGTGGCGGAGGGCGAACTCTAGGGCATCCCCTTCGGACTCCAAGATACTGCCCCCCCATCGCGTGGACCCTGCTAGCGTGGGCCCCGGGGCCCCCGCGACCCGCTGGCGCCCCCCGAGGCACGCCGGGAACGTGGCCACGAAGGGAGAGGAGCAGCGTGCTCGGCACCATCGCGAGCAACTGAAAAAGCGTGTTCGCCAGCGGCAATGGCGCCATGGAGCCTGCATCTGACTGTCTCGGCGAGTCGACCTATCTCGGGGGCGGCGGACGCGGGCAACTTGCGACGGCGCAACCCGATGCCATATCCTGGAGTCGGAGGCGGCAACGCCGGGGGCCCACGGTGGGCGCCAAGATGTGGCCCACAGGCGCAGCGTGGCGCGGGCCCAGTGCAGCTCCCTGAGCACCCCGCCCAGAAATCGACGGGCAGGGGCAACCGACTTCGGGGAGAAACAAATGCGGCTGACGCCGTCGACAAAGTCTCGCGCCTGCCCGGCGCAAACAAAGTGCCGCGGCCCACAAGTGCAGAGAGAGAGAGAGAGAGAGGAACAAAAAAACAAAGAGAGAAAGAGAAAGAGAAAGAGAAAGAAAAACATAGAGATAGAGAGAGAGAGGGGGGCAAATCTATCCACGGCGCAGCGCAGAACGAGCACCCAGGCACCCAGACGCAGTCGAGCCAGGCGCGCGCAGGTCACTCGCATGGCCCCTCTGACACCATCGAGCTCAAGGCCAGTGAAGATCATGGAGGCGCGAGCTTGCTGCGCCTCATGCACTGGCAAGCGGCGGCGAGACACGGCCGCCGGAATCAGCTGCAGCTCGCGGTCAGCCAGCTCCTGCGAGTCAGCAGCCGCGCGGGAATTGTCGACGCAAGCGGCCGCGGCCGAGCCACCAGCAGCCGCAGAACGATCGGCGGGGCCCTGTCGACGGTGAAGCGGGCCCCCTGCACCGCCACAACCCGAGCGATGATGACCAACCTATCCCGGCAAAAAATGCAAGGGCCAGTTCCAGCCCATAGGCGCCGCCAAAAGCTCAGGCACCACATCGATGTCGAGCCCCATGCCGCCCATGCACAGAGCCCGATTCGCGGCGCGCGACAAGGAGAAAGCGCGGGCGATGTCCGAAGGCAGCTCCGCGCGGTAGAAAGCGCGCTGGATGTCCGCGGCGCTGATGATTCGCGCGTCAACAATCATCCGGGGGCTGCCGCCCCCCCGCCGAGCGCTGCCTGCGATCCCCGCGCGGACGGGGCCCCAACGTCCCAGCCGCATCAAATCGTCGAAGACAGTAGGCGTCGCGGTCGGGACAGCTCAAAGGAAAGGGGGTCGACGTCAGGCTTGACTAGTCCAGACGCTTCGCGTCTGGCAACTGCGACGGACTCGGAGACGCTCGCCCTCTATGGCTCTAGCCTTGAAAGGGCGGCCGTGCTACGCAGACTTGACAAAGGCGCGGGGGTCGTGCCACCAGCAGGCCAAGACACTGAGTCCTTGGCGCGGGGTCCAGACGCTGAACCGTCTTCGCGGTATCCAAACGCGTGACGGAGCAGCTCTTCACGAAAAACATGAAAAATATGTGGCGGCGCGCTCCAGTGCAAGCCTCTGAGGAAAAATGTCTGTGCCGTCGGACGACGAAACCTCCCGCCCACCGTCGCGCTGGCCATTGAGGTGGCCGAGGTGTCCGTGCACTCGTCGGCCCAGGGTCACAACGCTGACGAGCACGGCGGGAGACGCGAGACCCATTGCGAGCATCCACAGCGAGCCGAGGAAGAGGGAAGACGTTGCGCTGGCGACCTTGGGAAGCGACCACCATCGCAGAGCGGCGCAGCCCCTGGCCCAAGAGGCCCCAGCGGCCTCGAAGAGGGGCCGGCCACTGGAACGTGAAGCCCTATGGCTACTGGCGCAACGCCCGCTCCACGCGGGCCTTCCTGCGCTCTTTAGCCGCATCAGCCTCGGCTTCCATCTCAAACACAGACATTGCCCTGCTCTCCTGGGCGCCAAGAGACAAGTTGTTCTCGACCCGATTGTCCAGCGCGACGCTCTTGCCCCTGTCCTTCTCGTCGCCGCCGTTGGGTGTGAACGCCTGCTCGACCGCCTTCTCCTCGAGAAATTGGAGGCGCCGCGCCATCATGTCCAGGTGGGCGAGCTCCCCTACGTTGACCTGATCGTAACAGACCGCCCGCTCCAGAATGCGCATCATCCTCCACTCGGCCATCCACTCGGTGCGCTGGCCCATCGGAATGGCGGCCTGACGCTGGATGCGGGCACGAACCCAGGCTGCAGTCCTCGGCCCGCGCCCGGGTCAGTCCCGCCAGCCCGCGGACGAGTTGAGCATCGCATCGTGCCCTCGCGAAAGTCCACGCGGCGTGCACGTTCTCTGACCGCGCGGCCGCTGGGGGTAGAGGCGCCGCAGCCCCATGGGCTGCACCCCCAGCAGCAGCCGCAGCGGGAGCCGCCCCAGGCGCGGCCTCGGGGGGAGGCGCGACCGCGGCCGCAACGGCCGCGGCGGCGGGCGGTGCCAGCAGCGCGAAGGCTCCAGGTGCTGCGGCGGGCGCGGAACCCGCACTCGCCAGGGCCGCGCCCACGCCAGGCGTCGCGACGCGTCCACCTGGAGGCGCTGGCGCAGCGCCTGCCCCGCCCGCGATCGGCATCGCTCCGCCAGGGCCCCCCGCAGCAGGCCCGCCAGGCGCGCCAAATGCCGCCGCGGGCGGGGACGGCGCGGGGTCCGCTAGCGCGACCGCCCTCAGACCGCCCACGCTGCCCGCGGCCAGGGGCATGTTGGCGGGCGACGCGGGGCGGGGGCCACCGTAAAACGCGACGGCCTCCATGATGCCCGCCCAGGCGTCGACGGCTGACGGCAGCGTTCGGAACCCATACACGGCCAGCCCCGCGGATCCATCACCTTGCCCAGCCAGCACAGTGATCGCGGCAATGTCGCCGTCGGGCACACCACTTTCTTCATAACGATCTCCGCCTAGAATGATGACATACACTGACGATCCAGGCCCACGATACACGATGAGCCTCTCGTGCCACACGTGAGCTCCACCAATACAAAGCCGAACCAAACTCCAAGACAACTGATGGACCGTAAGAGGAGGCCCTCGTATCTCTGATGGCCTTGATCTGCGCGCGGGCCGTCTCCTCGAGGCTGACTGGAAGCACCTCAGGGGCAGGGGAGCCCGTCATACGACGTGCGCGGAGCGTGCCGCCTGCTGCACTGAAGACCAGACCGACAACCAGCGCCGCCACCGCGCAGGCCAGGACGAGGCCGCCGCACGAGGTCTCGGGCACCTGGCCACATGCACGCAGACACAGGCAGGGATGGCGGGGCGGGTCAGCTGCGGAGAGCACGAGCCGCAGCTAGGCGCCGCCGCGTGCGCCACCACGGACGCGCCCAAGGCTTGCGCTCCGTATCGCACAGCCTCGGTGAGAGAGAGAGAGGGAGAGAGCAATATCTTGCATGGGAGCGTGCACCAATTAAGACTTGACCCGCAGTGGTTGCGACACGCACCATTACACCGATCAACACACGCAGCAAGCAGTTATATGATGATAGCGATGATGATGACGACGACGATCATGATGCTGCTGATGATGATGACGACGATGATGCTACTAGTAATACTTATACGAATCATCTTACTAATACTAATAATGATGATGATGCTGATGATGAAGATGATGATGATGATGATGATGATGAGTGATGGTAATGATGATAAATGATTACGGTGGTACTGATGATGATCATGATGAAGATGATGCTGGTGGTGGTGATGATGCTGATGATGGTGATAATGGTTATGGTGATGATGATGATGCTGATGATGATGATGATGATGATGATTATGATGATGGTAATGATGATGGTGATGATGATGATATTGATGGTGGTGGTGGTGGTGGTGAGGATGGTGATGGCCGTTGATCATGATGGGACGGTGATGGTGATGTTGACAACGTCGGTGTGATGATGATGGTGATGGTGATGGTGATCGTGGTGAGCCTAAGCGGTACTAAGGGAGGTGATGATGAAAGGAGGGTGTGGGTGAGGACTGCGCGGGGTGTCCAGAGAAAACAAGAATCCCACTTAGGATGTGGGGAATCAACTGTTGGAGCTCCGCGCGAATTTCTTGGATCGGCGCCCGGGCTCCGCTGACGGCACCTCCGACGCCACCTCTGGCGCGCTCAGCGCGCCTGGGAGGGGTGTCCAGCGCCGATCCAAGAAATCGGAGCGGAGCTCCAACAATTCATGCTCATGCCGTTGTCCTTTTTCGAGCAACTGGGGGCAACGGAAGAAGAGGGAGGGCGAAGGGGTGAGGGGAGAGGAGAGGGAAGAGAAGGGCAGGGGGCCAGAGCAGGCAGTGGCTGGTAGGCGTCCACTTCCAGCGGTCAGGCGCCTGGCGCACTCCTGCTTCCGAGGCGCCGATGTACTTCGAGAGCAGCTCGGGGCCCTTCACCGTCAAGAACCTCAGAAGTCCCTTGCAGGGTCACAGACAATGGCATAAACGCAAAAACTTGGGATGTCCGCCGAGATTTCATGCTTATGTCATTGCTTGTTCCCAGACCTTGGTCTCGCTTGCGGCCGCATGCACCAAGAACGTCTTCCCACAACCGGGCGGCCCCACCAACATGAGGCCCTTCTTGATGCGCACGGGCGCGCGATCTACCAGGACCGCGTACTTGGTTGGCATGGTCAGCATGTCCAGGAGTTCAGACTTGGGGCCCTCGAGCCCCCCGACGTCGCACCACTTGGTGTCCGAGGCGAGGAAGGCCTGGTCTGTCATCGTCGCAGGCACAAACTCCTGCCGCGCGCGCTCCAAGTGCCGCAACGCTAGCCGCTGCCCCGCACCCGACCATTCCCCTCCCCCGCACAGCAGGTTGGCGCTGGACTCGGCCGTGGCCTCCACGCACGCGCGCTCCACCAGCCTCGCCAGGTCGGCCACGCCGAAGCCGTCGACGTGGCCGCCCCACTCGTCGAGCGCGCCCTCCTGCAGAATCTCTTGGTCTACCTCCCAGCATGCCTCCGCCTTCTGCCGGCAGAGCGCCTGAAGAATCTCTGGGCGCTCCTTCAGCTGCGGGGGGCGCAGGGGCACCTTGTGCTCAAGCGCTGGCATTCGCCAGAGAGACCTGTGCACCGCTGCGTCGTCCGGCAGCGTGGCCGCCAGGGCAATGCTGGCGCCAGAGGCGCGGACCTCCGGAAGCAGATCCAGCAGCATCTCTGCGAGGATGGGCGATCGCTCCTCCGTGACGGAGAGGTTCGGCGCTCCTTCCTCCACGTCCGGGCACAAGGCACCGAAGTCGTCAAGCAAGATTGCGCTCGGCGAGTACCAGCAAGCAAAGCGCAAAATCTCCTGAAGCCACTCCTGGACCACCTTGAACTTCCGACTCGGTTGACTCAGCACCGTGCAGGAGACGATGATCGGCAGCACGCCCATGCCCGCGAGCTCCGCAAACACCCTGTGGCACAGCTCGCTTTTGCCGGATCCAGAAGCTCCAGTGATCGCTACGGCGCCAGGCACGGCGCAGCCTGGCACAGAGGCCTGTCTGGGGAATCAGACTTACACCCCGCAGAGGGCGGAGCGGCACCAGGCAACCGACTCCGACCTGGAGAGTTGAACCACACCGCGCGAGGAGGCTGCGAGGGACGGGGCACGGCCACTCCAATCGGAACTGTGTTGTCCATCCCGCACGAATGGGTCGCACGGGCATGGGCCACAACCAACCGAATCGAGAATTGCGATTTCATCCGACACGAGGCGGCCTCGAGCACTGGCCAATCAAATCGAACATGACGATGCCACCCACACGAGGGGAAAAGTGGAGATCTCACGTCGCACGGGTGAGGGTCACGGGCCAAGATGATCGAACATTAGTGCCCAAGCTAGTGGGCGCTACTGGCGGCAACCATCGTCGTCGCCACCGCGAGGTGGTATGATCTTGGGGGCTAGTCGAGGGCTAGTCGGGGGAGTGCCGTGGCAACCAGCATTGACCCCACCCTGAGCTAAAGGGAGCTAGTTGCAGACACGACGCAGAAAAACCCAGAATCGAATCGATAAGTTGGATGGCGATCGAAATGCATCAATTCAGTGGAAGTCGGCAGGCTCGTAAGCCCCCCGTCGAGAAATCGGAACCCGGATCGGAATCCGAGGTCGAATCGAATCAGAATCGGAAGCTATCGAAATCGAATCGAATCGAAGGAATCGAAGTGAGACCTGGGCTAGTTGGGGCCTGTGATGGCAAACAGTGCTGGCTGGTGAGGCTGCAACGGGGCCACAAACGGCAGCGAGGGGGCCACGAAGGGCTGCAACGGGGCCACGAAGGGCAGCGAGATCCCGATTCCTAAGTAAGCTGTGAGGGAGTCCTAAGCGTGAGCGCGACTCCTGGGGGCCTGAGTGTCGGGAGCGCGGCGCTTGAGTAAATTGCGGGGGGGTCCAACGCAAGAGCGCGATTCTTGAGTAAATTGCAAGCAAGTCTCTAGCGAGAGCGCGACTCCAGAGCGCCGAGAGAGCGATTCCTGAACCAATTGTAAGGAAGTCCCAAGCGAGAGCGCGATTCCTGAGTAAAATGCATAGAAATCTCAGGTGGGAGCGAGGGCTCTAGCTAAATTGTAAGGAATTCTCAGGGGGGAACCGCTGTTGTTATAATCCAGGGGCCAATAACGCAGTTTGACCCTAGTGACTTTCCCTGATGGAAAAACAAAGTACAAGCCCAGGGGGAAGCACTTCAATTGAAACACACAATGGTCACCTGAGGGGGGGATCAGCAAACATTATTCTTCAGTAGTGAGAGCTCAACAAAAACAACCACAGCAACAGCAGCAGCAGCAACAACGACAACAGCAACATAAACAACATCAACATCAACAGCAATAACAACACCATAAACAATAACACCACCAACAACAGCATCAACAACAACAACCGCAACAATAACAATAACAACAATCAATTCAATACTGTTCGCTCTTATCTGATCGCGTGCCATTCAATACGTATATCCCAACCCCTCGAGACCCGCCCTCTTCGTCTTCGAGCGTACCCCCTTGGGGGTATATACTTTGTCTTACCTGCAACGCGTATTTCGTGCAGCCCCTAAGGCAGGGGAAGAGAGGAGGGATGGAAGGAAGGGACAAAGGGGAGGGAGGAGGATGGAGCACGAGAAAAAGTAGCGGGAGGGGCAAATCGGGCAGGTAGACCCTATTGGGCGGGTCGGGAAGGCGGGCCCAGGCGGCCAGGTCGAGCAGGCGGATTGCTGAAGCGTGCATCCTGCATGAATCGCGAGGAAGTCTCGAGAGATAGCGCGATTCCCAAATAAATCGTAAGGAAATCCACAACGAAAGCGTGATTCCTGAGTGTCGAGGGCGCGGCATCTAAATAAATGTGAAAGGATTCCACGCGTTCCACGCGAGAACGCGATTCCTAAACCAGAATGAATCATCCGGCGCTTCACCCATCTGGTCAAACGCATCTGGTCAAACTCATCCTATGCCTGATTCATCCGCGCCTAACTCATCCGCTGTCAAACTCATGCGGTCTGATACATCCGATGCCTATCTCATCCTGCCTATCTCATCTGACAGTGGCTAATTAATCTGGTAATTAACTCATCCCGTGCCCAACTAAATCAACCAGGCCTACCTCGTCCTGAGCCTAACTCATCCGATGCCCTAAATCATCCGGTGCCTAACTCATCGGTGCCCTAACTCATTTGGTGCCTGAATCATCCTGTAACAAATTCATCCGGTGCCCTAACTCAGCCAATGCCAAACTCATCCGGTGATTAAGTCATCTGGTGCCCTAACTCATCCAATGCCCTATCTCATCACCTGCCCTAACTCATCGGGTACCCTGACTCATCTGGTGCTGTATTCATCCGGTCCGTCACCCATCGGGTGCCCTAAACTTACCCAACCTAACGCATCTGGCGCCTTGATGGACATGCCCCGATATGCTTAACTACAAACAGGTTTGTAGTCAAGAAAATGTTGGGCCCCCATCTGCCCCAGGATAACCCAAGAAATCCTCCAGAATAGCGCAGGAAAGTAGCGCGCTCCCAACGTCGGCTTCAAAAACACCTAAAATCAAAAATTGCTTGACTACAAACCAGTTTGTAGTCAAGCAAATCCTGTCCACTCCTGCAACCCCAGGATACCCCGCAAGCCCTCTAGAAGAGCCTGGGGAAGCAGCGAGCCCCTAACGTTGGCTTCAAAGACATCCAACAATAACTCAAACGTAACTCAACACTTGCTTGACTACAAACCGTTTTGGAGTCAAGCAAATTCTGGCCCCCCTGCTGCCCCAAGATACCCCAAACAACATCGGGAAGCAACGAGCCCCCACCGTCTACTACAAAAACATTTACATAGTTCAAACAAGAACTCAACACTTGCTTGACTACAAACCGTTGTGTAGTCAAGAAAATGTTGGGCCCCCTATCTGCCCCAGGATAACCCCAATAAGCCTTCTAAAGAGCCTCGGGAAGCAGCAAGCCCCCAACGTTGACTTCAAACACATGCAACAATAACTCAAAATAAGTCCGACACTTGCTTGACTACAAACCGTTTTGTAAACAAGCAAATTCTAACCCCAATCTGCCCCATAATACCTCCAAGAAGCCGTCCAGAAGAGCCTCGGAAGCCCCTAACGTCGGCTTCAAAGACATTCGACAATAATTCAAAAACAACTCAAAATTTGCTTGACTACAAACCGTTTTGCAGTCAACCAACTTCTGATCCCCCTGCTGCCCCAAGATACCCCCATCAAGCCCTCCAGAAGAGTCTCGGGAAGCAGCGAGCCCCCAACGTCGGCTTCAAATACATCCAAGAACAACCCAAACGTAACTCAACACTTGCTTGACTACCAACCGTTTTGGAGTCAAGAGAAAATCCTCAGTCCCGTTGTGCCCCAGGCTGATCCCAAGAAGCAGTCCTTCAGAAGAGCCTCGGGAAGCAGGGAGCCCCCAACGTCGGCTGCAAAGACATCCAACAATAACTCAAACGTAACTCAACACTTTCAAACCGTTTTGTAGTCAAGCACATTCTCAGTCCCGCTGTGCCCCAGGATGATCCCAAGACGCCCTTCAGAAGAGCCTCAGGAAGCAGCGAACCAGCAACTTCGGCTTTAAAGACATCCAAAAGTAAGTCAAAAGCGACTCACAATTTGCTAATCTAAAAACCGCTTTGCAGTCACAAACATTTGACCCCCCCGTCTGCCCCAGGCTGCCCCAAATAAATCCTCCAGAAGAGCCTCGGGAAGCAGCGAGCTCCAAACGTCGGTTTCAAAGACACCCAAGAGTAATTCCAAAACAACTCACAGTTTGCTTGACTGCAAAGCGTTTTGCACTCAAATAAATTATACCCACCCGTCTGCCCCAGGATACGCCAAGGAAACCCTCCAGCATAGCCTCGGGAAACTAACTCATCGGTGCCAAACTAAACTTACCAAAACCTAGCTCATACGGTGCCGAATTCATCCGGTGCCAAATTCATGCAAAGCCAAAACTCATCCACAACGAAACTCATCCCAAACCAGCCTCATCTGGTGCGAAAATCATCCCGTGCCAAACTCATCTGGTGCCAAACTCATCCAATGCCCTTACTCATCCGCTGCCTTAACCCATCCGGTGCCAGAACTCATCCGGTGCCGGCTTCATCCGGTCCGTCACTCATCGGGTGCCCTAAACTCAACCAGACTATGAATCGTACCTTGATGGACATGCCTGGGTATGCTTTACTACAAACCGTTTTGTAGTCAACAAAAATTATGATCCCAGACCTGCCCCAGGATATCCACAAGAAGCCTTCCAAAGGAGCCTCGGGAAGCAGCGAGCTCCCAGAGACGGCTTCAAAGCCATTCAAAAATAACTTCAAACATTGCTTGATTACAAACCGTTTTGTAGGCAAGCAAATGCTGGCCCCCCATCTGCCCCAGGATGTCCCCAAGAAGCCCTCCATCATAGCCTCGGGACGCAGCGAGCTCCAAAGGTCGGCATCAAAGCCATCCAACAATATCTCGAAAGTAAATCAAAATCTGCTCGACTACAAATCGTTTCATAGTCCAGGAAATTCTGGCCACCCCCCGACCCCAGGGTACCCCCAAGAAGCCCTCCAGAATAGCCTCGGGAGCCCTCAACGTCGGCTTCAAAGACATCCAACAACGATTCGAAAATAATTCAAAATCTGCTTGACCACAAACCGCTTTGAAGTCAAGCAAGTTCTGGCCCCCCCCTGCTGCCCCAGGACGCCAAGAGGAAGCTCTCCATAATAGCCTCGGGAAGCAGCGAGCGCCCAACGTCGGCTTCAAAGACATCCAGCAATGACTCAAATGTAACTCACAAGTTGCTCGACTAGGAACCGTTTTGCAGTCAAGCACATTCTCACCCCCCTTGTGCCCATGGCCCAGGATAATCCCAAGAAGCCCTTCATAAGAACCTCGGGAAGCAGCAAGCCCACAACGTCGGCTTCAAAGACATTTGACTACAAACTGTTTTGTAGTCAAGCGAGTGCTGGCCCCCCATCGGCCTGAGGATACCCCGAAGAAGC